GGGTGTGAACAGTATTCATAGAGCATGGGAGGATGAAGGCATAGCGGGTCATTGCTAGGCCATGATGACAACCCATTTGAGGTTACAGAATATTCCAGTGCAGTAATAACATTCTGCATTTTTTTTCTAGTCTTTTTTCCCTTAAGTTTTAGTAGATAAGGAATAAGTCTGGAAAGGTCAGTGTTACACTGACAGATGTGGATCAAGGTTAAGGAAATCACAAAAATTGACTTCCTTGATTTACTGTGATCATAAAGTTTATGATATGATAGGAAAGGAAGTAGAACTATAAAGGGTTCTACTATGTGACAAGGTCGGGGGATTGTATTTCATGTTTTTTTTTAAAAACAGATTTATTTTTACCACATACAGGCCATACAAGAACTCATGAAAATCCATGGACAAGATCCTGTCTCATTTCAAGATGTTAAGGTTATCTTTTCCTTTAGTTCATATTACCATGATAAAATGTCTAATCATTTGTTACATGAGATTTTGTATGAAAGCAAGCTAGGAATGATGAAATGCTATATACTAAACTAGGTATTTATTACTTATTCTGGATCGACACTTGGATCATTAGGAACACCACATTAGGTCCAATAATTGATTGATTTAGGAAGTATTAGGCATTGTTAGTCCTATATCCTCACTAGAAACTGTTAGCTCATTTTCTGTTGCTATAACAAAATACCTGAGGCTTTCTTTAACAAAATACCTGAAGCTTTATTTTTCTTTATAAAGAAAAAGTTTTGTTTAGCTACCAGTTTTAGAGGCCAACCATCTAAAATCAGGAAACCCCATCTATGTGGCCTCTGGTGAGGTTCTCCTTAGCTAAGGTTATAACAATGCAAGAAAGAAAGGAATCAAAATGTACAGATGGAGCCAAGTGTATGGGGTAGCCTTATTTTTATAACAGTTTGCTTTCTACAGAACTCATAACACTGACAAAGCAGCATTAATGCCTTCCGAGGGCAGTGCCTCCAGCACAGGAGCTCTTGGGGGACAAACCACATCACGACCATAGAAGGAGCATTCATTTTAACTGAAAATTGAGAGAAGCCATGCTTTGGCACTCCATCCCACTATAAATTAAATTTTGAAGTTGGGAACTGATTAGAGGTTCAGGCCACTTTTAATATGTCACCTCAGAGAGTCAGTTTGTGTCTCTAATGCCACATCCAAGACATCATTCCTACAATTTCAAAAACATGCTGATGCTCCTTAGTGATCAGACATACCAACTATGAAAATCATTCAGTATCCAGGTTTAGGAACACAATGAAATGCCCTAGTGGGGTGGCATTGTAGCAGAGGGTTAGGCTATCTCTTGTGGTGCTGGCACCTCACATGAACACCGGTTAGAGTCCTGGTTGCTCCACTTCCAACCCGGCTTCTGCCAATGAACCTGGGAAAGCAGCAGAGAGCCCCAATCCTTCAGCCGCTGCTACCCACCTGGGAGACTGGGATAGTATTGCTGGTTTCTGGCCCAGCCCCAGTGTCATCGCCACTTAGGGAGTGCACCAGCAGGCACAATCAATTTCCGTCTCGCCCACTCTTTCCCCCATCCTTCTCTTTCTCCCCTCCTAACTCCTGCCTCCCTGACACCCCAAAAACCCTGCCTTTAAAATAAATCTTTTAAAAAACGCCCTAGCCAATTATAACCAAATATAAAAGGCTGTTTTAATGTAATATAAATATAACATGTTTGAAATTTTGGAATTTAAGAATTAGCAGTTTTAAGATATAAGCAATCTAGAAAAGGAAATTGCAAAAACACTCAAGATTAATAGTCTATGCATTTATCTACCTAAACTTTTTTCTTAAACATTTGTTATTGGAAAGGCAGATTTACAGAGAAGAGACAGAAAGATCTCCCAAATGCTGGTTCACTCCCCAAATGGCCACAATGGCCAGAGCTTACCTGAGCTGAAGCTAGGAGCCCGGAGCTTCTTCCAGGTCTCCCACGTCGGGTGCAGGGTCCCAAGGCCTTGGGCCATCCTCGACTGCTTTCCCAGGCCACAAGCAGGGAGCTGGAAGAGAAGTGAGACAGCTGGGTTTAGAACCGGTACCCATATGGGATCCCAGCGTGTGCAAGGGAAGGTCTTTAGCCACTAGGCTACTGCACTAGGCCCTCTCATCTTTTAAAAATGTAATTTGTCTCCTTAAATGCCCTTAGACATTCTTGAATAATTTTACAACAAAACAACTAGAAAATGTGCTTCTTGGAAATATTTACTTAATGGAGAAAGTCTTCTCACCTATTCCATTAAGATTTAGCACAATTTAATCATTCTGGATGACTAATTCTTCAAAACCACATTTGTCTCCTCAACTCCTAGGCCTAGAATAAAAGGCTAATATCAGTGTTGGAAATGAAGTTTTACTACCATTTCTAAGTATTTAAATTTTGTTTTTATTTTTAAAATATTAGGGTTTGTGCCCAGTGCCTTAGCCTAATGGCTAAATCTTTGTCTTGCATCCACCAGGATCCCATATGGGTGCTGGTTTATATCCAGGCTGCTCCCTGCTTGTGGCCTGGGAAAGCAGTTGAGGATGGCCCAAAGCCTTGGGACCTTGTACCCACTTGGGAGACCAGCAGGAAGCCCCTGGCTCCTGGCTTCGGATTGGCTCAGTTCCGACCTTTTTGGCCACTTGAGGAATGAACCAGTTGATGAAGGAGCTTTCTCTGTCCTCTTCTTCTCTGTGTAAATCTGCCTTTCCAATAGAAATAAATACATCTTTAGAAAAAAAAAAGTAGGGACCCTGCGTGGTAGCCTAGCAACTAAAGTCCTCACCTTGAATGTGCCTGGAACAAATATGGGTGCCAGATTTGATCCCGGCAGCCCTGTTTTCCATCCAGCTCCCTGCTTTTGGCCTGAGAAAGCAGTCGAGGGCGGCCCAAGGTTTGGGACCCTGCACCTGCATGGGAGATCCAGAGGAGGCTCCTGGCTCCTGGCTTCAGATTGGCTCAGCTTTGGCTGTTGCGGCCACTTGGGAAGTGAAACATCAGACGGAAGATCTTCCTCTTTCTCTCTCCTCCTCTCTATGTCTGACTTTGCAATAAAAATAAATAAATCCAACAACAAAAAGAGCAGACCTTGGTATGACCTTTTGGTATAGCTGTTAGATACTGCTTTGGAGCCCACACCTGGTTTCAGACTGCCTAGATTCGTTCTTCAGGTTCGGGCTGGCCTTTAATTCTTGGTTTCTGCTAATGTGCACACTTGGGACATTAGCACAGAATGCATGAAGTACCTGGGTACCCGCCACCCACATAGGTAAATCTGAGTTTTGGGCTTTTGGCCTAGACCAAGATATTTCAGATATTTGGGGACGTGAACTATCTTATGAATGATTCTTTCTCTGCTTTTCAACTTGACAATTTGATGCTTAAATAAAGTAAGCCCACAGAGCCGGTGCCATGGCATGAAAAGTTAAGCCTCCACCTGTAGCATCAGAGTTCCATATGGATACCTGTCCAAGTGCCGGATGCTGTGCTTCTGATCCAGCTCCCTGCTAATGGCCTAGGACAGCAGCAGGGGATGGGTGAAGTGCTTCAGCCCCTGCACCCATGTGGGAGAGCCAGGAGAAGCTCCTGGCTTTGCTGCAGCCCAGCTCCAGCCATTGCAGCCAGTTGGGAAATAAGCCAGTGGAAAAGACCTCTGTCTCTCCCTTGTTCCGTAACTCTGCCTTCCAAATAAAAATAAATAAATCTTTAAACAACAACAACAAAAGGCCTAGACCTCACCTGATCATCTATTGGAAGGCAACAACAACAAAAAAAGATAAAGAGTAAGGAATAGGCTGTCAGATACTCAAGGAACACCATAGTAATTCTGCTACTAATTTGCTCTGCATCTCAGATTAAAATCAGAGCAACAATTTCTTCATCTCTAGATGAAGTAAATAACATCTTCATCTCTAGAGAGTAAATAGCAAAAGGCGAAGGAATCTTCCAGTACAATTCTGTGGTTGTATATAGAGAAAAGGAGTTTGTTGAAAAGAAAAAATGTAGAACAAAAAATTCCACATGAGCTCAATAGTAACCCTGACTTTCTGATGACTGTGATAGATGTTAATGAGTCAGATGTCGTATTTTTTTCTCTTGTAGGATGAAATCTTTGACATGGTAAAACCAAAGGATCCTTTGAAAATCTCTCTTCAGGATCTAATCAATAGTAATCAAGGAGACACGGTTACCACCATTCTAATAGATCTGAATGGTTTCTGGACTTACGAGAACAGAGAAGCCCTTGTTGCCAATGACAGTGAAAACTCAGCAGACCTTGATGATACATGACCTGTGAAAGACCTGACTGTCCTCCTGAAGACATACTTGAATGCTGCATGGAAGCCTCTGAAGCTGAAGCCTCAGAAACGGTTTTTAAATAAAAGCCCTCAGATGCCTGTGGAACACAGCAAATACTTTGGTTCTTAGAATTTTGGTTGCTTAAGTTTGAGAGTAGTAGGACTAAATATTGCTTTCTAAGAGATGGCAACTTAAGATGCCACTTTAGCTCAGATATGGCAAGTGTGATATGCTGTGGGTTCAAAGTGTTCAGTTTAAATATGTATAATCTTTACAGGTGAAGTTGTCATGGAATATTTCTGTCATCAGCCATTCAGAATTAAATATCTGATGGGTGGATGGAACTGTTAACATAGTCGATCAACCTTCAGTCTCCTAAGACATTATGTCTATTGAAAATTATGCCCTTTCCAGTGCATTAGAGTTGTTTCACTTTCATTAAAATCTTGTTAAAAATTTTTTTGACTGGCTTTATTAACCAGTACCAGAGATACATTTTACAAAACTAAACTCCATTTTTTAAAGGAATTTTGGTAGAAAAATCTTGTTAATTTAGTATTTAGATTCATCACTCAGAGGGTTTAGTTTTCATGAGATGAAGGAATACAAGACGGTATAATATCATGATCCAAAACAAATAACAATTCTTAAGAGGGTTGAAAAGGAAATAGGAAAAAATGGAAGAGGCTTAAAATAAGACAAACCATTTAATGCACTTATGGGAAATATAGTTTGCATAAACAAAAAAGTATAAAAATTTAAGGCACAGTGAATAACTATAAACCTTACAAACTGGCTGCTGTTGAGCTATTAGTGAAAGCGAAATTCAAGAAACATAATGCCTCTGTAAATCACTAGCTTCCTTCTACCACAGTCAAGTTCCTAGATTAACTTTTAAGTACTAGTGCTTCTATGCAAGAGTCAGAAGATCATCTTTAGGCATACTTGCCTTCACTTGATAACCAAATAAATATGACTTGGAGGTGCTATATGAAATTTAAAACAGAATGGAAGGAAAAGGTCAGGCTAGCATGTGTCAAAGCCATTGATAAACTACATGGTGACCACTGAAGCTTTATCCCTTTTAGAATTAAGTTATGTAATTTATACCCATGATTAAAAACAGTACACTAATCACATACTAATCACAACAATGAATCATTGTGACTGAAGACTCGTTGAGTTTAATTGTCCTTCCTAAATTCTTTAAATTTTAGCCAGTGAACTTAGTTGAAGAACATGTTTCATCTTAAGCTCACTGACAATAAATTTCCATAAATACGTCCACTGTACCTATATTGTGAGTTGCAAATATATTCAAATGTTTAAATATATGCTTAAATGTTTCAAAGGCTACTGACAAAAAGTCATTTGTAAAATATCAAGTTTGTGAAAAGCCTTTTAAGATCAATATTTCTAAAGCATTCTATACATTTCTCTTTACACAGTTATAAACCAAAGTCATAAAGTTCTACACGTATACCTAGGAGTATTTTCAGAATTAGCTTCATGTTATATAGCTTTGTAGAGTTTGCAAATAACCCAACAGATTGAGAAATGGCCAATGTGGTTCCAGTAAATTCTCTCTTATCTTTGCTACTTCAGAATGGTAAATGACAGGTAACTGACTTGCACTTTATACAGTATTTAAAAGCTCTTGATGGTTTAAAGCTACATCTGCTCCCCAGTCTCCTCCCTATCACCTTCTAGACAGGAGGCGTTAAAGGCTGAGTGACACCAGAAGGGCTGCCGTGTGGATAATCACAAGGTATTACTACGTGAATACAAATACATTAATCAATTCGTTCCACAGCTAGTGTTGGTTTTTTCTTTTAGCATAGTCAAGGCTAGTATTTGAATTACTGAAAAAAAAAATACAAGATTAAGTAACTTAAATTTTAAAAAATGGAAACTCATACTGAAAACTTTTCCATAAAAGATAATTTAGTGAAAAAAAATTCAAATTGTTCCATCTCGTTCCTTTTATTATAAACTCAGTAAGCCGTCCTCAGAGCAAAATTAACATATACAAATGCAAAGCATAACTTGATAAAATCTAGAAGGAAATCTTAATTTTATTCTGAGAGTGTAGTATTCTCAGCTCACTTGGCCTTCATCTGATATCTACCTTTTATTTAATCTTGTTAAAGTGCACAAATAACAAACTTGACAATTACCCATAATTGGAGGTTAGGGCTCCAGAATGTCCCTAGAATTTGTTTTAAAGATCACTTTAAAACCAGAGCACTAATTCCACACAAGGCAAAAACATTGTACGAATATTCTGATTTCACATGTGAGTTTTGCTTGATAGAGCCTAAGAATAAAGAAACATTTTCTCTTTTCAGATAATTTAAAATATAAATAATTGTATTAAGTCCCATTTAATAAAGAATGTGAAAGTTCCTGATACAAAGAAACACATAAAACCTTAGGGTTTTTTAAAGTGTGATGGTCACTTTCTATGGTGGAACAGAAATTGGATTTTGTTTTCTTTCCGTAATTACTTCACAGTCTTCCTCCATTTCAAAATTGAGATTCACAAATGAACTGGATACAGCTGTTTCTGGTTGATCTGTCTGAATAATGGAGTCAGCCTGCAGCTTATTTTGCTGGTATTGTCTTTCTGCTTCTTCAGACATCTTGTTTTCTTCTTCTTCTTCTTCTTCCTAAAAAGGAAAAATCAAGAATAGCTAAAATATAAATGTGCACAAGGAACTATATTTTTTCTCCCACTGTCAGTTTCTCTCTTTTTAACCAAGGCAGTGTCCTAGCTAATTCAGTTTAGTCTAATTAAGACATACTTCCCATACTCCTCTTCCCAAAATAAAGTACTGTAGAACAAAGATGAAGTTATTTAAAAACATGATCCAGCACTAGTTAGTGCTGATGAAACCTGAAATTAACAGGACTGTGCTTTTTTAAGATTAAGTCTAACTTAAAGGGATAAAAAGAAGCAAATATTACTTCAGTTATATAGTAGAGCGAAAGGGATTAAAAAAATTACTTCAGTTATATAGTAGAGCGTATTACTTTTTCCTTAAGGACCTAACAGCCAGATAAGGTAATCCCAGTCCTCACAGAGTTTAATCTCAGATCTGCTTGAGAATTAACAAGAGAGAAACCATTTAGAAAGTTAACTACCATAGTCTTATGCTCAATTTGCCTGGAGGAGAATAACACTTACTGTGTGCCTGCTAATATATACTATGTGCTGTTGTGAGTGTTAACACATAGTACTTCATTTAATCTGTACAGCAACTCCAAGCATCTGATGCTACGATTCTCAGGAGGCTGAGGAAGCTGAGGCTTAACAGAGATTAATCATCTCACCCACGTTACAAATTCAGAAGTGACAACGCAAGATTTTGTAATCGGGTTCTTTGGTTCCTCAGCCCACACTTGTGGGTGTTCTCATTCTTTAAGGCCAAACTCATTTCACCTCCATCCTAAGACTTCATTACTCTAGAGGCAACTGCACTGTTAACCATTGTGCCATAACTTACACATACACATTTCTACGAGTTTTAAATATCTGTCAAATTCACTACACTTCTCCAGTACCCAGCTTATCTGCCAGAAGACATCAGCCGGCCCTTGTATCTTTATCTACAAATAAAGATAATTCGAAAAGCAATTGAAAATTAAATAATATGTACTAGGCACTTTACATAGCTCCAGAATAATTAAATCCAGTTTAGTTTTACACACAGATCCTAAGGAATTTCCAATTTTAAAAATCCTAAAATGTAAATTTTGTAAAGAAACTAAGGGAACTACCCTTAGGCAACTAAATAATATATATGCTCATTATGTAAACCCATCACACCTAAGCAAACTAAACTGAATAAGAAAAATGTAAAAAGGAGACACACCTCCTTCTTCATCCGGTAATACTCATCAATGGCATATTGGTATTTTGGGGTGCTGATGCCCAAAACAGATGCAATCTTCTCTCCAAGAAAGTCACACACTACAGACACAAAAGTGATAAGACTTACACAATCCCATAAACATTCCTTGAGAACTTTATGTGTAAGACACTGTAGAAATAAAGTTATTTTTCCTTTTCTAGAGATTATAAAAACCCAATATACACAGGTACTTTAAAAAGTTTGTGGAAAATGCACATTATGAAAAATCTACATGGATTTGCACAACATTTGCAACAAAATAAACATAATTTAACTCCATTTTTCCATGAACTTTTTGAAATCCCCATGTCTCTGTCTTCTGTGTAATGGTACAATTTCTAGGCTCCCAATAATAGTATGTTCACACACCATTTATCAGCAGGTCTTACAATCATCTGTTACATGTTTTCATGGAAAATGGTAAGAGGAATGGTTTGTACATATGTCACTAAGAGCCTGCTATGTGGAAGCACTGGAAAGTTAATCTGCTCAAGCTAATAAACACAGATTTAAAATGGCTCAGGCTTTTGTCATTATACCAGACTGTCCTGCACAGAGTGAGTGTTTAGTATCTATTCCATCAATTACTATTCATAATTATGCCTAATAAAAGTAGAAATTGTATCAAGTTATGAAGGAATTCACAAGAAGCAGAGGAAAGTTTTGACTTCGAATCTATATTTAATTTAACTCATGACAATTCATTTCCTTCAAATGACTTAATTTTATCTCAATTTAAAGAAATGAAATATTAATGAAATAAAATTACAAATGAACTTTGCAGGCTTCAGAATAAGTAGTGAGACAGAACAAGAACAATACTACCAGGAAGTCAAATGAAAAAGTAGCAAAACACTTGTTAAAGAGTTCAAGAACATGAGAATCATACCTAAACTAATATAACCATTTTGGGCCTTTTTTTTTTTTTTAACACAATGGCAAGCTGGAAAACATCTTAAGGTGAAGTACAAGTTAAATTATGAATAATCCCCAATGCTAACTGGCTAGCTCTAGAATGAGAGACTAGCTTCCTACTGACTGTCCTTCCATCTGGAAACATCCCATTCAGATCATATTACGGCAATCATACAACATTCAAACAGAAAAGCAGTACCTGAGAGAGTTGATGTGGCTGCCCGAAGCATGTAAAACCATAAGTACGGGCCCCAGGTAAGTTTTGTCTGCAACAAGACATGAGGTTAGCAACATTCATGCCTAATCACATTATATGTATTTAGGCTAGAATGAAATAGTCAAATGCTTGGGTAGGCCCATAGAATACAGTTTGAGTATCCCCTTTGTAGAATTACTGGTACAAGCCATGTTTCTGATTTCACTTTTTCAGATTTTAAAATATCTGCAGGACTAGTGTGACACCAACATCCCACAAGGACATCAGTTCATGTTAGCAGCTCAGCTGCTTCACTTCTGACCCAGCTCTCTGATTATGACCTGGGAAAGCTGTGGAAGATGACCAAAGTCCTTGCGACTCTGCAACCACATGGGAAGAAGTTCTTGACTCCTGGCTTTGGATCAGCTCAGCTCTAGCTGTTGCAGCCACTTGAGGAGTAAACCAGTAGAAGGAAGACCCCTCTCTGCTTCTCCTTGTCTCCCTGTAAAATCTGCCCTTCAAATAAAAAATAAATATCAAAAAAAAAGAAATATCTGCATACGTTACCAGCCAAGCATTTCTAATTCGTTTAACAAACTTTCAAATGTAGACTCATTTTGGGATGCTCAATATGTATTCAACAGGCAATACTACAAACACTCCAGTCCAACAAAACTATTCTTTATAAAAATGGAATTTCTCATATTACATTCATTAATGTAACTATTACCACCCTAAGCCACAGAGGTAGGCATTTGGTACAACAATTAAGTCACTTCTTGGGACATCTGCATCTCAAAGGAGTAGTACCTGGGTGGAGTCCTGGTTCCTCCACTGCCAATCCAGCTTCCTGTTAATGTATACCCTGAGAGGCATCAGAGAAAAAGGTCGAGCACACGGGTCCATGTAGGCCACCTGGGAGGCCCAGGCTGAATTCCTGTCTCCTGGCTTTGGCCTGGCCAAGCCCAGGCTACCTACTGGGGTCAGCTAGGGAATGAAACAGCAGATTAAACACCTTTCTTACACTCTCCCAGCTTGCCTTTCAAATAATAATTTAAATAAGGTCCGATGTGATACCCTAGCAGCTGAAGTCCTTGCCTTGAACACACAAGGATCCCACATGGGTGACAGTTCCAATCACGGCAGCCCCGCTTTCCATCCAACTCCCTGCTTGTGGCCTGGGAAAGCAGTCCAGGACAGTCCAAGGCCTTAGGACCCTGAACCCACATGGGAGACCCAGAGGAGGCTCTGGCACTTGGCTTTGGATCCACGCAGCTCTGGCTGTTGCAGCCATTTGGAGAGTGGATCAACAGATGGAGGATCTTCCTCTCCATATAGCTGCCTTTCCAATAAAAACAAATAAACCTTTAAAAATACATATATTAAAAAAAAAGATGCAGCCACTGAACTGGAGTTGATAACTCAAGCCTGGACAAGTCACAAACTGATTATCCAGAACTTTCCTTTTCCTGTGATGCTATTTTTTCTTCGTTGTTCACAACCACATTACCAGAGAGGTTACACAACCAAGAGAAAAACCTTTCAGGAATCAGAGTCCAATAGATTTACATTATAGTGGGGAAATTACAATCCAACAAACTAAATAGGATTAGGAGCATATTAAATGAGTTTTTACTGAGAGATATATAAGTAGCAAAATGAGGCAGTGTGACTAAATACTGCCAGTAGTCCTCACCCATCAAAAACAATGTGAACTTGGCTTTGGTTGTACACTTAGGTCTCTTTTTAACTCTTAGAGATAGTAAAAGCCTCATTTTTGTGGCCATCTGAGGAGTGAACAAGTGGATGGAAGATATTTCTCTCTCATGTGTCTGTCTTTCCCTCTCTATATCTGGTTCAAATAAATTAAATAAGTAAATTTTTAAAATATTTATAATTTTTATTGGAAAGGCAGCTTTATACAAAGAAGGAAAGAGAGAGAAAGATCTTCCATCTGCTAGTTCACTTCCCAAGTGGCCTAAACCACCGGAGCTGAACCGATCCGAAGCCAGGAGCCCAGAGCTTCTTCCAGGTCTCTCACAAAGGTGCAGGGACCCAAGGCTTTAGGCCATCCTCTACTGCTTTCCCAGGCCACAGGCAGGGAGCCGGATGGTAAGTGGAACAGCCTGGATATGAACCGGCGACCATACAGGATCCTGGAACATGCAAGGCCAGGACCTTAACCACTAGGCTACCTCATGGAGCCCCAAATAAATCAATAAGTAAGTAAACAGGCAAAAGATGGCTAATAGTAGAACTTAATAAAGAGATTATCTGGAAAATTATGAAAATGTAATTTAGAAACTCTGAAAAGGACAGAACAGTAACCCAAGTCTAATATGAGAAAATCATTAGTGCCCCTATTATAGTCTGAACATAATCCTCAAAGTACGTGCTAGAAACGTAAACACGGTACTGTTAGGAGGTGGATCCTAATGAGAATACACTAAGAAGCTTGATCTCCTCCCAACCTTTCTCTCAGTCCTGGCCTTCACAGTCTCCAAAAGCATAAGTTCAATACAATTCTGTTCTTTAAGGCATAACCATGGCATACACAGTGTGCAAAGCCTCCCATATGGGTACTGTCCAGCCTACTCCACTTCCAATTCACCAACCTGCTAATGGTCTGGGAAGGAGCAGAAAATGACCCAGCTGCTTGAGCCTCTGATTCCACATCAGAGATGCAGAAGAAGCTCCCGGCTCCTGACCAACCCAGCTCTGGCACTGCAACCATCTGGGCAGTGAATCAGAAGGTGGAAGATCTCTCTCTCTCCCTGTATCTCCTATCTTTGCAACTCTGCCTATCAAATAAAAAGATATAAATCTTTCAAAAATTTTTCTGTTCTTTACAAATTATATAGTCTGTGGTGCTCTGCGACAACAGCACAAAATGGACTAACAAAATTCCTATGTGTAAGGATCAAAAGACAGCATCAGTGGAAAGGATAGCACCCAAATGGTGAAGACTTCCCATCAGTGGCCGTAACAGGGAGTACAATTACCTATGTACACCTTCAAAGCAGGAATTCAGAATTTGGAGGATGAAGAATAAACAATCTGACCTGATATTTTTTCTGCCATTTAATTTCCTGATGGGGCATGCATTATCCAAGCTCAGCTAATAGTGAGAAGACAACAGAGGCTACAGGTGTTAGAGTACAATGCAGGGTACAGAGAAGCCGAAAGCAGATCTAAAAGGATAAACAGAAGCTTCGCATGACCCTGAATCAAGAGACACAACAGAATGGCAAAGCAGAAGTGCTTTCTGGGTGAGGAACTTGGTGCAATAGTTAAGATGTCACTTGAGATGCCCACGTCTGAATTACAGTCCTGGCTCCACTCCCGACTCCACCTTCCTATCAAAGCAGATCATGGGAGAGAGAGGTAATGGTTCAAACAACGCAGTCACATCACTTACACCAGAAAAACAGACCGAACCCCCATCTGCCAGCATTAACCTAGCTCTGTCCCAGATGTCACAAGTATTTGGGGACTGAATTACTGAATTTAAGATAGCTTGTCTCTGTCTTTCAAATAAATAAATATAACTAATAAATTAAAAAAAAAAAAAAAAGAGTTTCAGGCCGGCATGGTAACCTAGCTGCTGAAGTCCCTGCCTTGCACATGTCAGGATTGCATGTGGGTGCCAGTTCATATCCAGGCAGTCCCACTTCTCATTTAGCTCCCTGCTTGTGGCCTGGAAAGCAGTTGAGGACGGCCCAAAGCCTTGGGGCTCTGCACCCGTGTGGGAGATCTAGAAGAGGCTCCAAGCTACTGGCTTTGGATCAGCTCATCTCCAGCTGCTGCTGCCACCTGGGCAGTGAATCAACAGACAGAAGATCTTCCTCTTTTTCTCTCCTCCTCTCTGTATATATCTGACTTTCCAATAAAAACAAAAATAAATCTAAATAAAACTTAGGGTTTCCTGTTTACTTAATACTAAGATGCTCCAACATTTAATTTAAAAGCAATTATTTCAAAAAAATAAAGATTTCAGCTTGGATGACAAAAAAAATAGTATTAAAATCTGTGGGGATTATAAAATGAGTATGTGAAAATTATCCACAAAAAACTACTAGAAGAGGACCTGGGATGCTGGTTCAGTGACTAAATCCTCACATTGCAAGTGCCAGGATCACATAAAAGTGCTGGTTCATGTCCTGGCTGCTACACTTCCCATACAGGTAACCTGGGAGAGCAGTCAAGGGTGGCACAAAGCCTTCAGACCCTATATCCACATGGGAGATCCAGAGGAAGCTCCTGGCTTTGGATTGATTCAGCTCCGGCCATTGCGATCACTTGTGAAGTGAACCAGTGGATGGAAAGATCAGATTTTCTCTCTCTCTATCTCCTTCTCTCCATAAATTTAATCTGCCTTTCAAATAAAAATAAATTTGTGCTTGACACATTAGCCTAGTGGCTAAAGTCCTCGCCTTGTATCCATTGGGATCCCATATCGATGCTGGTTCATATCCCAGCTACTCCACTCCCCATCCAGCTCCCTGCCCGTGGCCTGGGAAAGCAGTCAAGGATGGCCCAAAGCCTTGGGACCCTGCACATGCACAGGAATCCTGGAAGAGGCTCTGGGCTCATGACTTTGGACTGGCTTGGCTCTGGTTGTTGACGCTACCTGGGGAGTGAACTAGCAGATGGAAGATCTTTGTCTCTCCTTTACTCTGTAAATCTGACTGTCCAATAAAAAGAAAATAAATATTTAAAAATAAATACATAAATACTTAAAAATAAATAAATACATCTTAAAAATACTAGAAGAAAATACAAAGTGAAACTACATGGACTTCATTTGGGCAATGAGTTTTTCAATTTGACTCCTAAAACTTAAGAAATAAAAATAAACAAATGGAATTACATCAAACTAAAAAGCTTCTGTAAAGTGGAAAGTTACGGGTAAACAGATGATCCACAGACTGTGTAAAAGAATAACTGTAAACTAAGTGTCTGATAAAGGCTACATCCAAAATAGTAGGAATTCAAACAATTATATAACAAGAAAACAACCCAATTTTAAAACAGAGAAGCCACAGAGGCATTTCTCAAAACAAGATACACAGGATTTCAGAAAGTTCACGGAAAGCAAAGCGTCTGACGTGGCATGAAGACACCCCTGGTGCATGTAGGAGCACTGGAATTCAATATCCAGCTCTAGGTCCTCATTCCAGGAGAGACCTGGGAGGCAACAAGGAAGGCATAATTGGGTTCCTGCGACCAACATGCCAAGTACACTAGTTCACTCTCCAAATGCCCACAATGGCTGCATTTGGACCAGGCAAAAACTGGGAGCTACGAACTCTACCCAGTCTCCCATACAGCGAATAGGGACTCACTAAGCTGAGCTACATCTTGCTGCCTCCCCGACTGAATATTAGCAGGAACCTAGAATTGAGATCAGAGCTGAGTAAATGCAGATGCTCTGACAGAGATGTGGTCTTCTCCAATGGTACCTTAAGCACTACACCAAATACCCTTTCCTTCAAGAGCTTTTAGATGTATCATGTACATAACAAATGTGCTCCATACACCACTAATCATTATAGAAATGAAAATTAAAGCCACCTAAGAGAATACCTCATACTTGTCATGAGGCTAATATAAAAAACACAAAGTCTTGGTAAAGATGTGGGGGAAAAAAGAGAACACTGATACAATGTTAGTGGGAACTCAAATAGGTACAGCTATTGTGGAAAACTATATAAATTCCTCAAAAAAAACTAACGCCAGAAATATCGTATCATCCAGTAATTTCATGTTCTGAGAATTCCCCAGAAAGTGAAATCAAATGTCAAAGATATATCTGCACTCCCATGTTTACTGCATCGTTATTCACAATAGCCACGTAATGCAACTAACCTGGCTGCCAGTGAACAGACAGAGGTATAAGGAAAATGCAGTACACAATTTGGTCTTTAAACAGATGAAGTTCTGTTATTTGAAATAATATGAATGGGTGTTATAAATTTTTTATTACTGTTCCTGTTGTCGACTTTAGTTTTTGGCTTTTCATTTAAGGGGATGTATAGTAACTGTGTAATAGAAACTATCATAACCAGTTGTGAAGATGCAATGCAGTACACATTTCTACTTCCAAACCAAAGATGAACTCCCAAAGAAACTGTTAAATATGCTTTGACAACAGGACCCTGAACTCTCTACCATTGTTCATACTTACAATGTAAGGTTTCACTTAAACAGCAGAATGATGGACATGTGACTGTTTATGGAGGACTAAACTACTGTAATAATATGAGGTTAAGTCAATGAGGGGAGGGGACTTGGAGAGGGCAGAGGGGAAACCCCAGAGCCTTTGGGACTACATTGTAAAATTAAAAAGAAAGAAAGAAAGTAAGAAAGAAAAGAGAAGGAAGGAAGCAAAGAAATACCATGGATAAACCTGAGCCTGAGTACATTGTGATAAGTCAAATAAGCCAGGCAAGGAAAGACAAATACTATATCACTATGTTTAAACTTACATGTAAAATCTAAAACCATCAAACATGGAAGCGGGAGGAATCAGAACGGTGTAATCACCAGGGGCTAAGGGCTGGAGCCAGTAGTTAGGGTGACTGGGGAGATATCAAATGTTTCAATTTTTACTTTGGAGGAATGAATGACAAGTGTTGGAGGTGATGAATATGTCTTTTTTAAAAAATAAATAATCCAGGCTCAGAAGAATAGCCTAGTGGCTAAATCTTCACCTTGCATGTGCCAGGATCCCATATGGATGCTGGTTTGTATGCTGGCTGCTCCACTTCCCATTCAGCTCCCTGCCTGTGGCTAGGAAAGCAAGCAGAGGATGGCCTGAGACCTTAGAATTCTGCATCTACATGGGAGGGCCAGAAGAAGCTCCTGGCTCCACAGTTTGTATCAGCTCAGCTCAAGGCATTGTGGCAATTTGAGGAATGAACTGCAGATGAAAGATATTTCTTTCTGTCTCTCTTTCTCTCTGTAGATCTGACTTTCCAATAAACAATAATCAATAAATCTTTTCTAAAATAATCCAAAGCTTCCATCATCTAAATCTTTAACTATCATAATGGCACTTAGTTAAACACACAAAACTGACATAAAGCTTCTCTTTTACTACTTAAGTTACATAAGAAAAAATGGGTCTGCACTCCTAGGAATATACCCAATAGAAGTGAAATCTGCATGTGAGAAGGGGATCTGTAATCCTATATTTGCAGCAGCATAATCTACAATAGCAAAAACATGGGAACAATCCAGATGTGTGTCCAAGGAAGAGTGGTTAAAGAAATTATTCAGCTATTAAGAAGAATGAAATTATTCCATTTACAACCAGGTGGACCCAACTAGAGACCATTATGCTTAGTGAAATGAGCCAATCACAAAAAAACAAATACCATATGTTCTCTCTTATATAAGGAAACCAACATGGAAAGTGTAACTTCAGTAATCCAATCTATTCTGTTTTTTGGTTAGTTGTTTGCTTTTTTGGCTGTATCCCATGTGTTTAGATGTTTTTTATTTCAGTTTTATTTATTCCAAATAATTCCTTTTCTATTGTTGAATTCATCACTGGCTCACGGATTACAGGTTGGCATCATTTTTCCCCAAGAGACTTTTTTGCTTCCTTTTTGCCACTTATGTGTTGGTTACTCGGTGGCATGTTTTTTCATGGAGCTGTAATTTGTTGTTGTTGATATTGTTGTTGTTGTGGCTGTTTTAATTCATACCAGTTGTTGAGCTAGTTTCCTGGCTGCTCAATTATGGAAATGTACAGTGATGGAATACTGGGGTCTATCATATACAGATGTGGGGGAATAATGGAACATGTTTCCCTGCTTTCAGATGAATGATAGATTCCCAATGAAACTGTTGGGATGCTGAAATGCCTGACATTGTCTGTACCAACAATTAGTCTTAAATAAAAGACTAATAGAATTATGATTCCTTACGAAGGACTATACTATTGTAGTAAAATGGGGAAAATCTGTTAGGGGGTGAGAGTTTTTGGGACAATCCCAGCCTATATGAAATTGTACCACATAATTCAGAATTCAAAATAAAAATATATTTTAAAAACTGCTTCTAGTCCTTTTGGCTAAGATCAAGTGTAAAAATACATTAAAAAAAAAGAAAAAGAAAAATGGATCTGTATTCTTATAGGAACCCAATATGTAACAAAGCTATCTTTTAAAAATTAGAGTACAGTATCTTCTCAAGTTAAAACTGGAAATCCACATTTAAAAATAAAGAACCTTCAGCATTGTGGCATAACAGGTAAAGATGCTGCACAAGGCACTGGCAATGTATGTGGGCAACAATTCAAGTCCTGGCTGCTCTACTTCCAAACCTGTGTGCTGCTAATGTGCCTGGGAAAGCAGAGAAGGATAACCCAATTTCCTGGGTCACTTTCCATGTGGGAGATGTGGAGGAAGCTCCTGTCTTTAAAGAGAGATCCTTTGCCGCTGGTTCATTCCTCAAAAGACTAAAATGGCTGGAGGTGGGCCAGGCCAAAGCAAAGACCCTGGAACTGCACCCAGGTCTCCCACATGGGTTGGGAGCACATGGGACATCTTCTGTTGCTTTTCTAGGCCTGTGAGTGAGGAACTGGATCAGAAGCAGAACAACCAGAACTCCAACTGATGCTCCTATGGAATGCATCACAGACGGAGGACTAACCCACTGCAACACAATGCCAACGCTATACACTTCTAACTTCTGAAGAAAATCCAAACCCATATTAAAAAGAACTAATAACTCAACTTTTGGGTGGCACCTAACATGGTAAATATAATTCTTAACTCAAAGGGACTGAAATTTAATTTAAAAACATAAACCTTACAAGAGATTTATTCACCATGAAATTCTTACCTTGAAAAATAGTATTAAGCTATCAAATGCTTGATATATTTCCATCCACATGGGGAAAAAAAAGTGATTTGCTTTTTACCAAAGTCATAATGCAGAATTTCATAATCAGAATACAATTAATTTAAATCTAAAAAGTTCCTTTTCATTTAATATTTAAGGGGAAACAAAACAAAATCTACTGACAAAACATTCATCAGCATCAAACCTACTGGATCAATGGTAGGCAAGACATCTTTCTTCTCCAGGCCATCAGCTTCATCTTCATCTGTGCTGTATTCTTCCATTGTCTCTCCACTAACAAAGTGGATGACTCGCCTCGGGACCTTCTTCTTTTTCCCAATGATACCCAGTTCAACATTTTCAAAGCCTCTGTCATTACTCATCTGTATCAATAACAAATGAAGAAAAGAAGAGCTTCAAGTGAGGTTAATTTTCTTACATTACACACAAACAAAACTCTGATTGTATTAAAGAAACACAAAGCAGTTTAAGCAGTTAAAATTATTATACATGCCAGAGTTCATATTATATGCATATGTCATATTTAATAAACTGAATAAGGTTAAAATTAATTTTATTTATGTCAATTAATAAATCAAACTATGCATTTCAAGTTGTAGCAATCCCAATGCTATATACACAGTATGTATACATATAAAAAACTGTTGGGTGCCAATTTTTTTTTGTTCTTTTTAAGACACGTTTTTAATTGAATGATTTTAAAGACAGAGAAGGAGAAATAGAAGCAGAACATCCTTCATCCTTTGTTTCATTTCCCAATGGCTACAACGGCCTGAGCTGAGCCGAGCCAACCTGAAGCTGGGAGCAGGGGCTTTTTCCAGGTCTTCCACATGGGCCACATGGGTGCAGAATAAAAAGGCTTTGGGTCATCTTCCACTGCTTTGCCAGGTCATGAGTGAGGATCTGGGTTAAAAGTGGAGCAGCTGAGACACAAATCAGGGTACATATGGGATACTGACACTATAGGGTGGAAGATTAGATTGTTAGGGCACCGTGCCAGTCCCAGGATGCCAAGTATAATTGTAATTATGTCAGCAGAATGTTTTAGCATTTTTTTAAAGATTTATTTTATTTATTGGAAAGTCAGATATACAGAGAGGAAGAGAGACAGAGAGAAAGATTTTTCATCCATTGGTTCACTCCCAACCAGCCATAATGGTTGGAGCTGAGCTGATCCGATCCAAAGCCAGGAGCCCGGAGTCTCTTTCCCAGTCTCCCACGCAGGAGCAGGGTCCCAAGGCTATGGGCTGTCCTTGACTGCATTCCCAGGCCACAAGAAGGAAGCTGGATGGGAACTGGCGCCCATATAGGATCCCAGCATGTGCAAGGTGAGGATTTCGCTGGCCCTTTTTTTTTTTTTTTGGAGGCAGACCTACACAGAGGAGGAAAGACAGAAAGTCTTCCCTGTCATGGTTTACTCCCACCTGTTGCAGACACACAAATATATACACTATATAAATGTATATATATAGAATCAGTATGAATGGAATAACTGGGAATTTTAGACTACTGAAAGAAGTAACAAGATGAGTATAATTTTGAGGGCCTGGCACAGTAGCTCAGCAGCTAAAGTCTTTGCTTTGAATGTGCCTTGAATGTGCCAGGATCCCATTTGGGTACCAGTTCGTATCCCGGCAGCTCCACTTCCCATCCACCTCCCTGCTTGTGGCCTGAAAAGCATTCAAAGATGGCCCAAAGCCTTGGGACCCTGCACCCGCATGGGAGATCCAGAAGAGGTTCCTGGCTCCTGGCTTCAGATCAGCTCAGCTCCCGCCGTTGTGGCCACTTAAGGAGTGAATCATCGATGGAAGATCTTCTGTCTCTCCTCCTCTCTGTATATCTGACTCTGCAATAAAAATAAATAAAATTTTAAAAAGAAATTGTCTGTTATTTTAAAAATAATAATAATAATAAAAATATAAAGTCCTCGCCTTGAACATGCTGAGTACTCTCATGGGAGACCCAGATAAGGCTCCTGGCTTCAGATCGGTGCAGTTCCAACCGTTGTAGGTGCTTCGGAAATGAGCCATCAGATCTAAGATCTTCCTCTCTTTCTCTGGTCCTCTCTGTATATCTGAGTTTCTAATATAAATAAATAAATAAATAAAATCTTTTTAAAAAAGAAAATAAAACCACAGAGGCAGAGAAAAAGACAAAGATCTTCCAAGTGCAGGTTCAATCTGCAAATTTCCACAGTGGTTCACTGGGCCAAAGCCAGGTGCCTAGACCTCAATATGGGTCCCCCCAGTAGGTGGCAGGCACCCAAGGTCTTGAACATCATGTGATAACTCTCAAGGTATGCATCAGCAGGAAGCAGAGGCTGGACTTGAACTCAAGCTCTCGGATAAGGGAAGAAGACATACCAAATGCCATGCCAATGCCTGTCCCAAATAAATTCACATTTATACACGGTTTTCTCTTAGTCTTCCCAGGTCCTTTAGAACACAGGTTCACTTGCTCTGTATTACTCCCAAAGTTTATACATTAGCTAATGCTTGACTCCAGGTTTACCAAACAAACAAAAAATAAATGCACAGCTCCATGACACACAATCTATATAACTGGCAGTACTGGAATACAGTAAACTGCAGATCAAGTACTGCAATACAGTAAACTGCAGATCAAGAAAACCCCAATGTCACAGACATTGGGGTTTCTGACAATCAGAAAAACCTTAACCCATTGGCAAATGCAGAAGCCAGGGTGGAGTACAGGTCATGCCAGGCTGGACTATCACCCCTACCAGTTTGAATGAGTCAGGGATGGGAACAGACTGAGCAGGACTTGGCTGCAGCACCTGCCAGCGAGAGTTGGGACTGGGGGCAGGATGCGTCAGACGAGGCTGCAGCATCCAATGGCAAAGGTCAAGACAGAGGATGGACTATTCTGAGCTGGGTCAGAGCAACCACTGGCACACATAAAGCTGTAGCTGGGAGTAGGTCCAATCAGGATGCTAAGGGGATGCCCTGACAGGGTTGTGGTTCCCACTGTTAAGAGCAAGGGCTGATATGGGTGTGATGGTCTGGGCTGGACATGACTGCAGTATTCCTCGGCAGGGGTGTGGACTGGATCTAGGGTGTGCCAGACTGGGCTAAACTCCAACACACACTGATGTTCCTGAGAACCAAGATGGGTGTAGGATGGACTGGGCTAGGTGTCGGCTTCCTCTGAACCACACGAGAGCTGTGTCTAGGTGCAGACCAGGTGGCTGGACTGTAGCTCCCAAAAGCAAGAACCAGAATGGATGTGAGCCATTTGGGCAAGACCATTGTTCTAACCATGACAGGAGGTGGACGAACCTGACTGGGCCAAGGACCCACTGGTACGTGCGAAAGCTGCCACTGGGAGATCTGACAGAGAAGCTTGGGGAACTCTTTTGTCTGGACACAATCCCTGTAGGCCAGCTCAAAAACTAAGGTGTCGGCCCCAGTGGCCTAGCGGCTAAAGACCTTGCCTTGAACGCGCCGGGATCCCATATGGGCGCCAGTTCTAATCCCAGCAGCTCCACTTCCCATCCACCTCCCTGCTTGTGGCCTGGGAAAGCAGTCGAGGACAGCCCCAAAGCCTTGGGACCCTGCACCTGTGTGGGAGACCCGGAAGAAATTCCTGGTTCCTGGCTTCGGATCTACATAGCATCAGCTGTTGCGCTCACTTGGGGAGTGAATCATCGGACAGAAGATCTTCCTCTCTGTCTCTCTTCCTCTCTGTATATCTGACTTTCCAATAAATAAATAAATCTTAAAAAAAAAAAAAAACTAAGGCGAAGGGCAACTCAGACCAGGTCAGGTTGTTTTACCCACTGACATACAGCCAGCTCAAAAACTAAGGCAAAGGGCAACTCAGACCAGGCCAGGTTATATTACCCACTGACATGCATGTGTCTCAGGTCTGAGGACAGGCCAGACTGGGCCAGTTCACAACACCCACTGGCAATCTGAGAACCAGGTCAGGGTGCAGGACAGGTTGGATTGGGCTACATTGCCAGCAAGTAAATATTAGTGCCAGGAGTGGGGGATGGCTGGGCCAGGTTGGGTGGTAGCACCCACCAGTGTGACCTGGAATTAGGGGCAGATCAGACTGGGCTAGGCTACAGCACCTACTGGCAAATGCCGAGATGGGCCATGCCAGACTGGGTTGTGGTGCACACCAACACATGAGACATGGTGTGGGGGCGGGAGTGTGAGTCCAGTGGGAGAGCTGTGGGTACTCTGCCACTGGGTTACTGCTCCTGTTGATGAGCATGAGAGCTGGAACTAGGTGCAGACAAGGATGCACAGGGTTACACCTGTTGGCCTGCAAGTGAACTAGATTGGGGGAGAGCTACACTGAGCTAACTGACTATCCACTGGTGCAGGCATAAGCCAGAATAAGGGCAGGCTATTTGGATTTTGCCACAGCATCAGCTAGCAAGGGCTGGGACAAGGGGCAAATTCTGTTGAGTTAGAATGCAGAACCACCTGGAGAGTGCAAGATCCAGGTCTAGGAACAGGCCCAGTAGGGAAACTGTGGGCACCCCTCTGATGGGCTGCAACTCCCACTGGCAAGCATGAAAATCAGGAATGGGGATGGGGCTGGCTATACAGGCTGTAGCACCTACTGGTGTGAGTGTAAACTAGAAGATGGAGTCTGTTGGGTTGAGTTGGGTTTCAAGGCCCAATTATGTATACAGGAGCTGAATGGGTGGTAGAACACACTGGACCAGCCCACTGTACATGCTTACAGACACAGAAACCAGGGCTGGGGACCAGCCCAGTTGGGAGTTATTGAGGGCCGCTCTGACTGGGCTGCAGTTCCTGATGGTGTTACATCAGGGTCATCTGTGTGGAGGGCAGGGTTGGGCTGGGTCACAGCACCCACAGGTTCGCACACAAAATGGGGCTGGAGATAGATTTTACGTAGCAATTGTAATTGCCAGTGTGGAAGTAACTGATGTGGGTGACAGAATGAATTGGACCCTGTACAAGTGGGCACACACACAACAGAAAGGTCTGAGATCACCTCAGACAAGATTGCTTTGAGGGCTCCCCCTACTAAATCGCTGAACTTAGAACTCCAACTATGGGGAGAGTGGCGGGACCTGTGGTCTGACAATGGAGTGCAAATGTCAAAACTGCACCTCCTCAGTGGCTTTGATGGAGCAGCAGACAGCACACCCAGAGGCATATGGAGGATAGGTCAGACCATTGAAGCTCGCAGAGAACACCTGGTACCATAGCAGAGGAAGGAAGGCAACACAAATTGACCCAGTGAAGCAAAATAGTAAATATCTGAGTGAACAGACTCACAGGTGGACCGTGTCAACCAACGAACCTTGAAAGAATATCCTCATCCTTACATCTGCAAGATCGACAGCATTCCAGAACTATCGAAACCAACTGAGCAGAATCCCTTCAGGGATTTTTGGATGACATCAGATGGCAATTCCCCATCCCTGAGTGCTGAGGTGGTTGGGAGGCTGGGTGTGGCTTCTCTCTTTGCCTCTCCCTTTCACCCATTTACAGGAAGAAGGAAAAGAAAATGTGAAAACAACAGTCTCACCTATTTTCCCCTGATCCTAGAACCCTTCCCACCCTAATCAACTAAGTAAACAACGTCAAATATAGAATTAAAAAAGAAAACCCCAATATCAGAAAAACAGTCAAAAATTATTTCTAGCCTATCCTGAGGGTTCAAACAAATTGCAGCCTTCAACAAGCAAGACCAGCTCATTTATTTACTAAGTTCAAGAACAAAAGTGGACACATGATTCACCTGAGATCCTTTTTCACAGCCCCTTTCCCCCACAAGTTCAGGCACCAAGTACTATTCCTATTAGTCTCATGTTTCACTTAGGATAAGACTTGGCTTACAACTGTCCAACATTAGTATTTTCTTCTGTGAGAAAGCATTTTAGCCATTTGGGGCAGGCCACATAGAATGTCTACATCCCAAATGAGAGGGCCTGGGCTCAAGTCCAGCTGGGCTCTCCATTCTAGCTTGCTGCGAAGGGAAGCAGCTCAAGTAGGTGTGTCCCTGCCACCCTCAGGGGAGACAGGCAGTGAGCTTCTGGGTTCAGTCCTGCCCAGCCTCAGCAATCACCAGCATTTGGGGAGTGAACCAACACAGATTCTGTCTCTCTTTCTGCCCCCCAAATAAGAAAAAAAATTAAAATAGAACAAAAACAAAAACCCATCCATATCCTTTTGGAGTCTGACTTGCTTTTTTTGATCCCTTAATTTCCTATAAAAAAGAAAGCAAAAGAACTGGGTTTACTAACCAAATGGATCTCTTCTTAAAAATTAACCAATAACTTTTATACTAAAGGCAACTTTTACAGAGAGAAGAACAGAAAGAGAGATCTTCCATCCCCACTGGATCACTTCCCAAATGATCACCAACAGCTACAGCAAAGCTGATCAGAAGCCAGGTCTCCCACATGGGTGCAGGTTCCGAAGGACTTGGGTCACCCTCTGCTGCTTTCTCAGGCCATAAGCGGGGGGGGGGGGGCTAGATCAGAAGCAAAGAACCAGGGTCCATTTAGGATGCCAGCAGCACCAGGCTGAGGATTTCCTTGCTGCACCACTGCGTTTGGCCCCCATCCAAAAGGATCTAATGCCAATGTGTCAGCAAATCAAGAGCTTAGCTCTTTTACAGCCTAACACCGTGTCATACCCCACACCACTCTATCTGAACAGAAGCAGCTTCACTGCTTACTCAGCAATCTTTCATTGGTTTAATTTTGCCTTTCTTGAAGGCGCAGAAATCAATGTCTCTCAATGGGTTCACCTACTTTATATTCCTTAGACAACTTTAATGAACCAAAATATTCTGGCAGGGGTCAGAAAGTTAACCACAAAAACTCCATCAGCCTTGACTTGTGGATATATTCTTCCCCAAAAATGTTGAAAAGGGGGAAAAAAAAAACTACCAGACACAGGCATTTGGCCTGGTGGTCATGATACTCCTATTGCACATGAGAGTACCTGGTTGGTTTGTAGCTCCAACCCCTGATCAAAGCTTCCTGCTCGTGCAGGCTCAGGAGCTGATGGCTCAACCTGGGTTCCTGCCACCCACGTGCAGAGCTGGGGCAACTGTGTGGAGGGCAGGGTTGGGCTGGGTCACAGCACCCACAGGTTCGCATACAAAATGGGGCTGGAGATAGATTTTACGTAGCAATTGTAATTGCCAGTGTGGAAGTAAACTGATGTGGGTGACAGAATGAATTGGACCCCGTACAAGTGGGCACACACACAACAGAAAGGTCTGAGATCACCTCAGACAAGATTGCTTTGAGGGCTCCCCCTACTAAATCGCTGAACTTAGAACTCCAACTATGGGGAGAGTGGCGGGACCTGTGGTCTGACAATGGAGTGCAAATGTCAAAACTGCACCTCCTCAGTGGCTTTGATGGAGCAGCAGACAGCACACCCAGAGGCATATGGAGGATAGGTCAGATTTACAAAAAAGAGGAGAGAGAAAGATCTTCCATCTGCTGCTGGTTTACTGCCCAAACAGCCTCAATGGCCGAAGGTGAGCCCATCTGAAACCAGGAGCCAGGAGCTTCTTCCGGGTTTCCAACACGGGTGCAGGGTTCCAAAGCTTTGCGCCATCCTTGATTGCTTTCCCAGGCCATAAGCAGGGAACTGGAAGGGAAGTAGAGTAGCCAGGACACAAACCAGCACCTATAGGGGATCCTGGAATGCGCAAGGTGATGATTTAGCAACTGAGCCATTGCACCAGGTCCCAAGCTTTTCTTTTTAAATATTAACACTGTTGATGGGTGTTGTGGCACGGGCACTAAGCCAGCATCCCATATGAGTTATGATTCAAGTTCCAGTTGTTTCACTTCCAATTTATTTTCCTCCTTATGTGCCTGGGAAAGCAATGAAAGATGGCCCAACTGATTGGGCCCCTGTCATGAACATGGGGGATTAGACAGAACTCCAGGCTTCTGGCTTTGGCCTGGCCCAGCTCTGGCTGTTGCAGCCATTTGAGAAGTGAAGCAACAGATGGAAAAAGTTCCCCCCTCCTCTTTACTCTGTAACTCTGCCTTTCCACTAAAACCTCTTTCCTTAGAAATAATTTTTATCTAGCCAAATCAGAATTTTAAGTTTGTCACTTTAAACAGAGGTCAGCAAGCTGATTTTTGTGAAGGTAAGCAATAAATGTTCTAAGCTTTGCAGACCACTTGGTCTGTACAAAATCAGTGGCTTGTATGGAAACTATATAACGAATGGGTGTGCCTGTGTTCCAGTAAATGTTAAACAGGTGGCCTGCTACATCTGGCCCATAGGCTGTTTCAACCTTGATCTTCAGAAATCACACTAGGAACTAAAACAAGTCAGTGTGGGGCTGGGCTGGTATTATGGCACTTAAAAGTTCTCAGCAAGACTTCAAAAGGACTACGAGACAACAGTCTCTCCCTCCACTTGTGTCTTCACCTCCCCACCTCTTCCCCTTACTGAGCTCAAACCACTGCGTGCAGGTCTGGGGTTTCCAGAAATGTTTCTGCTTCAGCAACATGAATAAGAAACCAAAACAGACAACACAGCTTGTTTTTTAAAAAAACGACCTGTGTTTAAGAGATTATATGTATATGCGAAATCCCAGACATAAATATAAAGGACCATGAGGGGATTTTTGCGGGATTACCTTTTTTTTTTTAATAGAGAAAAGGAGAAACAGAGAGAGCAGAGATGGTGGTCTTCTATCTGCTAGTTTACTTCCTAAATGGCCACAATAGCTAGGGCTGAGCTTATCTGAAGCCAAGAGCTCCTTCTAGGTTTCCCACATGGACACAGGGCCCCACGGACTTGAGCCATCCTCCGCTGCTTCCCCAGGTCATAAGCAGAGAGCTGGACTGGAAGTGGAGCAGCCAAGACATCAACCTACACCCATATAGGATGCTTGCACCACAGGGAGGATTAGCTTGCTATGCCACTACACTGGCCCCAGAGAATTTCTTATTTTTAAACCAAAAACATGGAAGCAACTAACCACCATAAACCAAGACAAAGAGCCATTCTTCCAACAACACTATTTGGTGCAGTGCAGAGGGGAAGCACCTTGCAGCACAAGTTGAGCATCCCAAATGGGCTATTCCACTTCTGACCCAGCTTCCTGCTAATGTGTGTACAAAAGCAGCAGATGATGCTCCAAGAGCTTGGGCCTCTGCACCCATGTGGGAAACCAGAAAGAAGTTGCTGGCTTTGCCTGGACTTCCCAGCCCCTACCCTTGTGGGCATTTGGGGAAGTGAGCCAGCAAATGCAAGATATTTTTCTGTTTCTCAACTCTGTGCCTCACAAATTAAAAAAAAAAACAAAAAACCTCAACGTAAAAGCACATTAAAGCACTGTGCATTTAATGGCTCAGTTCAACTGTATCTGTCAACAGCCGGTCTCCCCCCAAAATGAAAAGTAGCTCCTTAATCAATGGTTGAGGTTTCCTAACTTAGATGCGTTCTCCTCCTCCTTACAGAAAAGGAAAAAAGAAAAAAAAATAGGGTTAACATAGTTCTGATGAACCGGGTTAAATAAAAGTAATATTAAAATAAGTATTACTGGTTTCCTGTTGCTTTTTTAGACGTGGCAACTGGAAACTTTTTTCAACTACAATTCACAGTGCCACTGGAATCCCTGGTCTGTTGGGTCGCGCAGCAGGGTCTCACTGTAGAAGTGGGGATACCCGCCCCCTGCGGCTGCTCTATGGATCCCGGACTCCAACCCTAAGCACTAGCTGCTAGTAACTAGCCAAACAGGCTGCTGCCAAAACAGGCGCCTGCAAATACGACTACTGACAAGTGGTGGCAGCCGCCGTCACCTGACTGCCAGCCTCGGGGATTCACGCCTTCTGGCGTTCCCACACCACAACCTGGTTCACCAGCCTGGAAAACCCGAGGCCTCCCCGGGGTCCGCGGCGCTGCCAGCCCGGCGGAGGCAGCTGTTATCCCCTCACACAGGTTTCTCTCCGGAGAAAGGCACACAGCCGGACCCCGAAACTCACGTCCTCTGGGAGGAAGATCGCAGACCACACCGGGAGCAGCCTGGCTCTCCCGGACTCGGCCTGCCACCAACGGCAGCCCCACCTACCCGCTGCGCCGACTCCCGGAACGCCGCGGCGGCCGCAGCTCCCGAGGCTGCGCCTGCTTCTCCTCCTTCCACACGGCCCACGGGGTCCCGCTCCATCGTCGCCGCCGCCGCCACAGGGCTGCTGTGGGGACACAGGTTGGTGGCCGGTATGCTCACTTCCATCCTCTGCCTCCCGCCCCGCCGCTGGCCGAGGCCCTCCGGAGTCGGGGGACTCGCCGACCGCGTCAGCCCCCGCCAGTCACCGAGAGCGCGACTCGGTGGCCGCGAGGGAGACGGCCTGCAGGGCGGGGCTGGGCAGCGGCTGACCGCGGCCGCCCACAGCTCAGGACGGGCTCGCGCGGCCGAGCGGGCGGGGCCTGGCGCTGCTCCGCTTCCGGCCAGGCCCACGTCGGGCACCGCCCGTGACGTCACGCCGCGTACCTGTACCTGAGCTCCGTGCAGCTCTCATCCGCTGGCCTTTTCCCAGACCATGGCCTGTCCCTTGGAAAAGGGAAACTTGGCAGTGTTCACAGGCTAATGATAACGTAGTTGCTGAAAATGTAAAATGTGGTCTGCTGGCACATATTTCAAAAATGGACAACAATCCGGCCCAAATGTCCCTAAAATAAAACCCCAAGGACAAGTTTCGCTTACACTTTTCTGAAATATTTAAGCACGATTAGACAAAGTGTTAAGGAAGATCTGGAGAGTAAGGCTGTAGCAAGCAAGCGTCCACCTTGACAAAAATAAGAAATGTTTATGTATTTCAGGTGTGTTAAAGGGAAAATCCCATTTTCCCCCATTTGTTCCAAAGTTCAACCAGATTTAAAAAATAATTGCAGTAATTACTGATTGACTATTTTTTATAATTTTTTTAAATTGGAAAGTCAGATATAGAGAGGAGGAAAGGAAGATCTTCTGTCCGGTGATTCACTCATAAGTAGCTGGAATGTTGGAGCTGCACCAATCTGAAGCCAGGGGCCAGAGCTTCTTCCAGGTCTCCCATGTGGGTTCAGGGTTCCAAGGCCTTGGGCTGTCCTTGACTGCTTTCCCAGGCCACAAGCAGGGGGCTGGATGGAAGCAGGGCTGCCAGGATTAGATCTGGCACCCATATGGGATTCTAGCGCGTGCAAAGCGAGGACTTTAGCGCTAGGCTACCGCATCAGGGCCTTTCTCCTTTAACATCAAACTAGCTGGAGTAGTTTTAGGCAAATGTTTTTATTCTTTTTTTTAAAGATTTATTTATTTATTTATTGGAAAGTCAGATATACAGAGAGGACAGAGACAGAGAGGAAGATCTCCCGCCCATGATTCACTCCTCAAGTGAGCGCAACGGCCAGTGCTATGCCAATCTGAAGCCAGGAGCCAGGAACCTCTTCTGGGTCTTCCACACAGGTGCAGGGTCCCAAAGCTTTGGGCCAATCTCGACTGCTTTCCCAGGCCACAAGCAGGGAGGTGGATGGGAAGTGGAGCTGCTGGGATTAGAACTGGTGCCCATATGAGATCCCAGGCGTGTTCAAGGCGAGGACTTTAGTCACTAGGCTACGCTGCCGGGCCCCTAGGCAAATGTTTTTAAGCATGAAAACTTTTGTAACTATCTGGAAATCAAAAAACACACAATTTTGGCCACAACAGTTTCACATTTTTTACTTACATGTATTTGAAAGGTAGAATCCTTCCACCTGCTGTTTCACACTCCTAAGAGCCTTCAACATCCAGGCTGGGTCAAGTGGAAGCTAGGAGCCAGGACCTCAGCCTGGGTCTCTCACATGGGTGAAAGAAACCCAATTACTAGAGCCATTATTGTTGCCTCCAAATTGCAATGGGAAGCAGAGCTGGGGCTTAAACCCAGGCACTGCAGCATGGGATGTGGTTATCCCAAGAGTGTGCTGTGCATAACTCCTACTCCCCAAATTTCCATTTCCAATTTCAACCAATCTCAACTCAGGAATGTTCCCCCAAGTTATTCGACTTGGTTTTAGCTTACTCCTATATGCAGGGTCCTAAACCATATTTTAACAAGTTTGTGGAAAAGTTTAAAGTATTTTGCTACAGATAACCGAAATCCATGTATCAGTCATCTTCAAAAAAATGTTAAACACATTATAAACAATCATTTATTTATGAGACAGCACCCATCCACTTGTTCATACCCCAAATGCCTAGATAGTAAGACTAAACACAACTTCAACTGAGGTCTTTCAGGGGATAGAAGTAACCCAATTATTAGAACCATCACAGCCACATCCCAGGAGCCAGAGTCAATCCTGAGAAGGTGCTCCAGCATAGAACACAGACCCAGGACTGGGGTCTTGCCCAAACAGACACCCTTGTTCTATTGCTTACACTGCTAAGAACTGAAATCGTACAAAGTCAGAAAGTATGCATCCATGATCATACAACTCCCACCTCTCCTGGGTCACTGAAGACCAAATTTCCCTTCTGTTTATAAATGCTTGCGAAAACCAAGTAAGCATGATTCCTACATCATAGAAATATGCAGGTTTGTTCTTCTCACTTGACGAAAGCATGGAATCTCCATCTGGAAAAAGGCTCATAAGACTTATTCCCTTCTGTTTCTCCAGAGGAGGAAAAGCTTTGCGCAGTAGTGTGAAAAGGCTCTCAGACCCCAGATAAGGGACTTTCTCAGTGTCAGGCTCATGTGAATTGTACCTTTTACAAGTGGGAACGACTAGGTGATTTCTTGACTGTTATTCTGTTTATGATCCAACTAGTAAAGAAATGCTGTTAGGCCAAGAGAACTTTAAAGATAGTCAATGATTTTACATGGAGAGAAAATGAGACTTGCTAAAAGGAGGATAAGCATGCCAAACTCAATTTATGTAGTAATCAGTGGCAATCACATCGTAGAGCAATATACATGATTACCAGATTAAAGTTGTATTTTTATTTAAAAGTACCAGGAAATGACTTTGTACTTAAAATGCTCATATTACATATAAGAGATCAATATGAGAGATAGTGCTGAGGGTCTTAAGTGAATACCTACTCAGCATTGAGCACAAATAAATTACTTACACTATTTGCAAAGTGCAGGGAAAACTACCATAGCAAACTTTCATATCAGATTAGCTATTTTACAACGATAACACACAACTATACAACTGTTTCTATAACTCACGCTCATAATTAAAGAAGGCATTAGGTTCAAACTTAATGCTACAGATCTTTTTGTTTTGTTTTGTTTTTAGTGCTGCATACCTTAATGTCCAGAACATGGTAACTAGAATTTGGGGGATTTTAAGGATGACTGTTTTTAATGCAACGAATGTCAGTGATATAGAGAATCATTTAGATTGAGTATGTGATGATAGGATTCTGGTCTCAGACCTTCTGGCCTGATTATCTCTAGATTGTCAGACTGACCAATAATTTAAATTTAGTTGCAATTTGGCATTGGTTTCTGCTCACTGCCATGGTTGTTTTTATTAGAGATCAGTCTTTGGCAGCTCTCTTTATTTAGATAGTAAAATATGTCCAACTTATATATAAGCACCAAATTGAATTTCTCACATTTTTATTTTAAATGCTTTATTCTACTTATTACTTGTTTACATTTTTTAGAGCTATATAAAAATGACATTCTTTTGAATTTATATTATGGTTTACTTTTTAGACATTCTACATTCATTGAAATAAACTATTAATATTACTTTTACCTTTGTGTTAATGTCTAATCTGGGAATTCAGTTCTGGTAAATTTTCTGATTTTGTTGCTGCTTGTCAGTATGCACAACATTTTTTTTTCTTTTTAGTTAGATATTATACTCAAGGTTAGTATAATCTTACCAAAAACCAGAATTTTGGAACTTCTCACTTTGCTTAAATTGTAATGTACTATATATTCATTTTAACAAGATAATGGTCTTATGTAACATACCTATCACATGTTAACAGGAATTTATTTTTTTCCAAAAATTCCTCCATACTCTTGTGAGCTGTTGTTGGAGTACACATTACACACACACACACACACACACACACACACACACACACACACACACATACACACACACTTACATTAATAGAGAACTGGATCAGAAGTAGGGCTGCTAGGTTTCAAATCATTTGGATTTGCCAGCCCCATCAATTCCCTCATTTTAATGGAAAAGAAAATGAAAGCTTAATCATACATCCTTAACTTTTGCCAAAAAAGGAGCTTATATCAGACACAAAGTATTAAAAAAATGCCTAAAGCTTATGGTTATTATGGTCATTTTCCTTTTATATGCCAAGAATGAAAAACATAAAAATACAAAGCAAAAGATATGCATCACTTCAATTAAAATGGGTCAGAGAATAATATTATTTCCATTGTCCCATTTCCCTGGCCAGACCTTGGTGTGACATTTCCACAGAATATAAGATATATCATTTTATATCGTGTTCTACAAGGATAGTATATTTTTTAGCTAATAAAAAAAATTAGTAGAATATGAAAAAGTTATATTCTTTCTGAAATTATTTTTTAGAAATACATTAGCTTATAAGACTTTTTTGAAGCATTTGAGTCATGAAATATTAATGTTAAAACTAAGCTTTTTATTTTACTCACAACTACTGCAAATCAATCCTCTGCTGCAGATCATTTTATCTTAGCTCAAAAACTTATTGCTACATCAAACCTATTATCTTCATGTCAGTCATGAATAGGCATAGTAATTCTAGTATTTTCAGCTCTTTACATAAAATTTATTTAAAAGTCATTGTTCTAAATAAATTTTGCATCAATCAAAGGGTACCAATAATCAAGTCAACCTTATCAAAGTCTAATTGTTTTTAATATATAATCATGATAGCCTAATATTTCCAATGTTCCCCACTTGGGCTATACATTATCTCATATAATCAAAGTATATCTATTTTTTCAAGTAGATTTTTGGTATGTAAGAAACATAAAAGTAGCTTCAAAAAATCAAGGATTGCCACTAAGGCTCAAAACTAGGTTAAAAACACAAGTTATATACCAAATATACATTGTAAATTGGAGTCAAGTTACCAATCTCAATTGAAACAACAGAGCTAAGATTTTCTATGGCAAAATTATCTCAATTATTCTAACTTAAATAAAACTAATACTCATGGTAAGTCGCTCCACCATATTTCTTATTTAAGGTTTATTTCCAGGCATAGTTTTAAATGACATGTACTTATTTGCTCTTCAACCTTTAGGTGTGATATACTAACCATTTTAAACCATAAAGAAAGTTAACAAGCCCTTAACTTATAACCACTTTTATTTTACAGCATTTTTATTTAGATATCATGTAACTACTGTCCAGGACTGTTTACAAATGTAATGCTTGGTCTTCTCAGACAATTAAAAACCTTTAAGTACTAAAATTTTACATCATGATTTGATTAACTTAAGAAGTATTATTATGGTGAAAACTAAGAAGAAAATCTAAACCAAAAATATGATTTCCACAAAAACCATATATTCTTCCCTTATATGAAAGGGAGGGAGGAACAAGGGGAAAGAAGAATGGAAGAAAAAAGTAGAGGAGGACAGATAAAGGCAAAAAAGAAAGTTAAGAAAAATACTCTTTTTTCTCCCCCCATTTGCAAAAAGAAGGGAAACTGAGGTCTCAGCAAATAATGCAATCAACTCAGTCAGTTTATAGTAAGGCATCTTTACATATTATTGAATCCCATCATGCCTTTCATATTGCCAGCAGCACCCTGTTGAAACTGCCTCATCATGGACTGAAGTCCTGCCATACCACCTGCAGACAAAGGAAAAACAGATCATAATTAAGTATAAGTTGACACACTTACAGCTTTTGTCTAACAGGTTCATTAACTTCTACAAAATACTGGATCCTGGTAATAATTTAGTCATTAGTCTTAAGGAACATGTCAACTAAAAATTCCTATTATCAATAGTATCCTCATCCTTAAAAGAAGACGAATAATCTACTTCACTGACAAATTCAGTAAACATCATAGAATAATACTTGTTATATGGTCAATAAATCTAAACGTAACATAATTTTTTGTCAGTTCCCAGAATCCTGCCATAAATACTATCCAGTTATACAAAAGTAACCACTTTTTAGTATATGTGCTGCTGAAGTGAACACAAAAGGACTCAATGAAGAGTTTTTTTCAAATGACTTATGGAAGAAAAGTAATCATTTATTAAACATGTACTATACACCCAGAACTCTATTACATGCTTTCATATATACTGCCTTACTTCATTGTCACAATGTCCTTATAAGATTTATCTATGATAATTATCCACTAGATAATTATCTCTGTTATCTTTATGACTTTATAGGAGGACAAAAGTGAAGTTCAGAAAGTTTACGGTATTTTGATGTTACACAGTACAAGTGATATAAAATTCTTCAGCAATTTCAAAGTCCCATCATTGAAAATATCTAGGTTCCAAAATAGAACAAAAGGTCACTAGAACAAGCATCTGCAAAAGATGATTACAAAGCTTGCTCAGAAATCACACAGGTGGCAGCAGAAAAAACTAAAGCCTCTGCTTACACTGCACCATTGTAGCTATGAAGGGATTTAGACAGCCACTGCCCTCAAATCACATGTTCATATCACAAAGAAGGCTTATCACTAAAACCCAACCATCATAAATTAAACTTGTATTAGCAACAGGCAACAACTTCGTAGTTACCCATGTGATGAAGAACTCTTGGATCCATCATTTTGGCCATTTGTTGATTCAATTTTGCCATCTGTGACTGGCTTACATTTTTAGACATGTCACCACCTGAAAACAATTTTCAAATCAATGTATGATATAAAAAATCAGATCACACAAAGTTTGAGGAATTGAATAAGCACAAAAAATATTCAACCTTACATTGCTATTTCTAATTGCACATATTCTTTTTTTTTAAAAAAAAGATTTATTTGTATTGCAGAGTCAGATATACAGAGAGGAGGAGAGACGGAGAGAAAGATCTTCTGTCCGATGGTTCACACCCCAAGTGACCACAACAGCCAGAGCTGCACGATCTGAAGCCAGGAGCCCAGATCCTCTTCCAGGTCTCCCATGAAGGTGCAGAGTCCCAAGGCCTTGGGCCATCCTCGACTGCTTTCCCAGGCCACAAACAGGGAGCTGGATGGGAAACGATCGAGGCTGTTGGGATTAGAACCAGCATCCATATGGGATCCCAGCGCACTCAAGGCCACGCACTAGCCGCTAGGCCACAGTGCTCTATCCCCCACATAACCTTATAATATTTTTACCAGTTACATTTTTTTTTTTTTGAGGAATAAGTGAATCTAGATAAGAGGACAAAGAATCTTTTCTCTCTCTTTTTTTTTTAAGATTTATTATTTTTATTGGAAAGGCAGCTATACAGACAAGAGATAGGGAGAGGAAGCTCTTCTGTCCACTAGTTCACTCCCCAGATGGCCGCAATGGCTGGAACTGAGTCAAGCTGAAGCCAGGGTACAGGAGTTTCTTTAGGGTCTCTTACAAGGCTGCAGGATTCTAAGACCTTGGGCTGTCCTTGACGGCATTCCCAGGCCACAGAGAGCTAGAAGGGAAGCAGGGCCACTGGCATATCCACATGGGATCCTGATGCATGTAAGGTAAGGATTTAAGCCACTAGACTATTGCACCAGGCCCTAAAACTTTCTTAAGGCTATGATTTTTGCTGATAGTTTCAGATGTACCTGTGAATGAGCCACTAACAGCAAAATTATATACAGCATTATTAGTAATAGGCAATAATAACACAGGCTCAATATTGATATGGGAGATAAACAAAAAGCGTACTTTATGAGTTAATAAGGGAGGCCAGATGACTGGTAAAGGAATCTGAAAAATGAGCCTGACAGAACTTGAATAATGGTATATATCTAAGAAGTTTTTCTTTTTTTTTTTTTTTAAGTACACATTGGAACAGGCATTTGGCCTAATGGCTAATGTACCCACAGCACACATGCTGGGTTAGATTCCAGTTAGTGATTCTAGCTTGCTACCAGTGCAAACCCTCTGAGGCAGCAGGAATGGCTCAAGTAATTGGATACCTGCTTCCCATGTGAGAGATATGGGTTGTGTGCCCTGCTCCTATCTATGGTCCAGACTCAGCGGCTCTGGGTAACTGGGAAGTTAACCAATGGGTAGGAACTTACTCTGTCTCTTTGTACCTGAAATAAATTTTAAATATTTTCATTCCCCACAGTTAGGTCAAAATTTCAAAGGAAAAAGGGAAGCCAGGGAAAGAGATGCATTCTGGGCCAAAGTATAACATCTTTTAAAGAATAGCTCTATGCTCAAGATGGGGAAACATACAGCTCACTGCATGTTCTGGGAAAACAGTGGAAGATGGCCCAAGTGCTTGGGTCCTTGTGGCCACCTGGGAGGCCTGAATGGAGTTCAGGCTCCTGGTTTTAGCCTGGCCCAGTCCTAGCCAGTGCAGTAATTTGCAGAATGGATTAGCAAATGCAAATCTCTCTCTCTTTAACTCTATCAAATAAATAAAATCAAAATGTTAAAAAAACAAAAACCTTCATCAAAGAAAAGATACACTTTTATGATAAGATGTGATAAAAATCTGCACAAGAAATCCATGGCTAAGCTACAGCCATTGTGGCCACTTGGGGAGTGAACCAAAGGGCAAAAGACCTTTCTCTCTGTCTTTCCTTCTGTCTATAAATCTGCCTTTCCATTAAAATTAAATAAATCCTTAAAATAAAACAAAACCAAAAAAGTTAAGTACTTTCATTTATACAGACATCTTTGAAAATTAAAAATCTGGGAGGAAAGGTAGCATTGTACCATAATAGATTAAGCTACCATCTACAATGTCAGTAACCCATATGGGTGATGGTTCTAATCCCAGCTGCTCCGCTTCCAATCCAGCATCCTCTTAATCTGTCTGGTAAAACAGGGATTAAACTAATTGGGACCTGTACCCACATGAGCCAGTTGCATAAAGTTCCTGCTCCTGCCTTCACTTTGGCCCAGCTCTGGCTGCTATAGTCACTCGGGGAGTGAACCAGTAGACAGAAATTTCTGTAACTCTGCTTTTCAAATAAGTAAAAAATTTTTGAAGGCAGTTTTAAAATGAAAATGCATTTATTATTTGATAAGCAGAGACACAGACATTAGTTCGCTCATGTGGATGACAGAGGACCAAGTACATAACTCATCACCACTGCCTATCCCACTGCACACTGGCAGGAAGCTGGAACTAGGAGCAGAGCTAGGACCTAGGCCTTGTGTAAGCATTTACATAGGGATGCAGGCATCTCAAGTGCTATTTTAAAGCACTAAGACAAATGGCAGCCCTAACATCTTTTTTTTTTAAGATTTATTATTATTATTATTTAGAAAGTCAGATAATACAGAGAGGATTCACTCCCCAAATGACCGAAGAAGCACCGGTCCAAAGACAGGAGCCAGGAGCCTCATCTGGGTCTCCCACGCGGGTGCAGGGTCCCAAGGCTCTGGGCCGTCCTTGACTGCTTTCCCAGGCCACAAGCAGGGAGCTGGATGGGAAGTGGGTCTGGCAACACTAGAACTAGAGACCATATGGAATCCTAGTGCATGCAAGGCCACCACACCAGGCCCTGGCCCAACCTTAAAATTCAATTTGCCATTTTTTTTAAGTCCATTATCAAATGATGATAATTTTTCTTACCTTTGAAAAGTCCTTTGATACCACCCATCTTTTTTACCATCTGTGCAAACTTGGTATATTGTGTTAAAAGTTCTTGAACATCCCTTGTTGACACACCTGATCCTCTTGCAACTCTTTGGATTCTTCCTGGTTGTTTACTAAAAACCTTGGCACCATCTGTACTGTCCAGTTCTGTAAGCAAGAGTCCAATTATTTCACTTATATAAAGTTACTGCTCATCATCATCAAAGCAGTTATATGCAAATGGGCAATATATAATAACAATAGATGTTGTTTTAAAAAGGCAACTATAACTTTTTTAATTATGAAATTTTTTAAAAGATATTTTTATTTGATAGGCAGAGTTACAGAGACAGAACAAGAGACAGACAGAGGGAGAGATTGTCCTCCAGCTAGTTTACGCCGCAAATGTCCACAACGGGACACAGCTGGGAGCTCCTGGTCTCCCAAGTGAGTGCAGACCCAAGTCTTGAGCCATCCTCTGCTGCTTTCCAGACCTTTCATTAGCAGCAAGCAAGGACAAGATAGTAACAGAATTTGTATGTCAAACTTACGAGTTTGGAATTCATTGTAGAGGCAATAAAGGCATCTGTTGAAAGGACTGTCATCATTAGAAATATCATCCTGGTGGCACTGAGTAAGACAGACTTGAAAGAGTGCCAAAGAAGAAAGGAAAACACAGGGAGGCTATCAAGGTAATTCAGATAAGAAATGCTATGAGTATAAACTAATGCAGGGGATGCAGAGTCAATGAAAAGAGGGAAGAAATGAGACAATTTAAGACATGCAACTTGCTAAATCTAAAGTGATTTTAAAGTTTCTGCCATTGAAGTAATGAGTACCGATAGATATAGACTGATAAATCAAGCATGCATGTGTATCATACTACCTAGAGCAAGTCCTAAACAAAGGTATCATCTATAAACAGGGACTGAGTCCTAACCAGACACTAAAGCTGTTGGCATCCTGATTTGGAATTTCCTAGGTTAACAATAAAAAAGATGGGAAAACATAAATAATACAAGGGCCCGGTGCGATGGCGCAAGTGGTTAAGGTCCTCGCCTTGAACGCCCGGGATCCCATATGGACGCTGGTTCTAATCCCGGAAGCCCCGCTTCCCATCCAGCTCCCTGCTTGTGGCCTGGGAAAGCAGTCGAGGACGGCCCAATGCTTTGGGACCCTGCACCCACGTGGGAGACCCGGAAGAGGCTTCTGGCTTCAGATTGGCTCAGCTCCAGCTGTTGCGGCCCACTTGGGGAGTGAATCATCGGACGGAAGATCGTCCTCTCTGTCTCTCCTCTCTATATATCTGCCTTTCCAATAAAAATAAAACAAATCTTTAAAAAAAAAAGATAAACAATACAAAAGGAATTAAAAGATGTAGGAACCAGCATGGTAGCCTAGTGGTTAAAGTCCTCGCCTTGCATGCAATGGGATCACATATATAGGCGCTGGTTCTAATCCCTGCAGCCCCGCTGCCCATCCAGCTCCCTGCTTGTGGCCTGGGAAAGCAGTTGAGAACGGCCCAAAGCCTTGGGACTCTGCACCCACATGGGAGACCCAGAAGAGGATCTGGGTTCCTAGCTTTGGACTGGTGCAGCTCCAGCCATTGTGGCCACTTAAGAGAGTGAATCAACTGTAGGAAGATCTTCCTCTCTGCCTCTTCTCCTCTCTGTATATAACTGACTTTCCAATTAAAAAAAAAAGTAGAAAAAAGATGCAGTGGCTCTAACAGTAATAGATATTGTAGACCAGAAGCAGAGATACTACACAATAACAAGGACAATTCATCAAGAAAATAATCCTAAATATATATGCACCTAATACAAGAACTTAAACATACACAAGAGAAAAATGACAAAAGTCAAAGAAGTTATTTTCATATTTCTATCTCAACAGAACCACTGCACAGAAAATGAGTAAAGACAAACTTATCCCAGATTCAGGCTTGGATGACTGCTTAGATGGAGGGAAGTGTCACTCATCTAGGAAGAAATGCTAGTTTTGGAGCACGTGGGTGTCACCAAACTTTCAAACGTATAAGCAGCCAGCACTACCAGCATGTGTACCAAGCAAAGATCAGGAAATAGCATGAACTGTTGAGACAGAATGCCAAGATCTAAAGCAAGTCTTTTCACTCTCTAGGGACACTGTGCAAATGACTCAACAGTCCTGTATCTCAGACTGGACTATGCTTTAAGATTTACTGTGATGATTAAAGGGTGTTGTGAGGATTACATGCAAAGTGCTCAGCATAGTGCCTGGCACAGAGAAAACACTCTAAATATTGTAAACATTTTTCAAGCACTGGAGATGGAAACAAGAAAAGATGCGGTATTATTAGGACTACTATGAAAGTCAACAGATCAGTAAAAAGGTAAATATTGAAAAAACCAATAACCCAGGTTAGATAAAGCGCAAATATGGATGAGTTATTCAACAGAAACGAGCACAGTAAGAATACTATGAGAATAGAATCCTAGAAACTTTAAAATGCTCACATACTGCTGGAAAAAATGACTGAAGCTATAAGAAAGGGTTTGACTGACAGAAGTCACAAAACAGTATGAAGCACACTTAATAGTTGCCAAATTTTGTAGGTGAGTTAGCCAAAAGTTGAGGGAATTCATCACTAAATTTTCTTTGTAAAAAGAGGTTATAGGTCAAGCAGGGCAACTGTTGAAGAAGAAAAAGGGATGCCAAACGTTCACTATACTTACTGGGGCGGGATGAGAAAAGCTACTGAAACACTAGTAAAAAAAAAAAAAAAAGTCATGGGACTAGAGATGCTGATAGGCTGAGCACCAGGTCAAGACCTGGAAAGAATGGGAGACACAAGAGGAACCAGACACGATGACACACAGGGGGCATTCTGAAGAAATAAAATAGTTTTTGAGCAAAAGAAGTCTATAAACATTGCTTAAGTGGTTTCACTTTTATAGATTTCCCAACACATATTGTCATATTAAAGCTCTGAAGAGTATTAAGATAAATCTACTTCTATTACCCCAAAATTTGACTACAGATTCCTTCCCTTAAGCTATTGCTGCCAACATTAGACAGAACTACTGTTCTTTCCTTGAACTTTCTTGGAAAAGCTTTGTTACTGACATTTCTCCAAATGATACCATCAATGCAATAATCATTACTTCTCAGAGCAAGGGCTTTGAAGGTACTATAAATCCACGTAAAAAGATTTCAATCTCAGGTTCCCCCACCTTTCTCAACAACAAAACAGTGAAACTCATTTGTGGGGATTCAGAATACCATTCCCCCAGTATTAACAGCCATCCTACCTTGATCATTCATACTATCCATTATCGTCATTAATTTCTTCAGCCTTGCCATTGACTCCTGCTCATTTCCTTTGCTCATAAAATCTGTTCCAAAACCAGGGATCATCCCCTAAGGCAGATTTAAATACAACAGATTTAAATATAAAGCCATTAATACTTTAGGATGAATCGTACAAAATGTCCACATTTTAAAAAGAGATTTCTATTTGAAGGGCACTTAACACAGAAAGGAGTCACAGAGATGGAGATAAAAATCTTCCATCTGCTAGCTCACTCCCCAAATGACCACAACACCCAGAGCTGACTCTGGCCAATCCAAAGCCAGGAGCCAAGTGCCAGGAGCTTCCTCCAGGTCTTTCAAATGGGTGCAGGAACCCAAGGACTTGGACCATCCTCCACTGGCTTTGTAGCCCACAATCAGAGAGCTGGATCAGAAGTAGAGCAGTCAGGATTTGAACTGATGCCCACATGGGATGCAGGCACTGCAGGTGGGCTTAACATACTATGCCATGATGCCATCCTCAAAAATGTCCACATTTAACCACTGGCTCCAATAACAACAGTAAGTCTTACAATATATATTTTATCTGAATATCAAATATTGAAGCAAATATATTATCTTTTTCTTAGAAAGTTTAATAGGAAATGAAGACATAAACAAAAATTTAAGGATAACTTACCAAGATCTGACTGAAGGGGCCCATTTTCATGATGTTTTGAAATTGTTCATACATGTCTCGTAACGTAAACTGACCTGAAATATAATATAAATTACTTATATTAAGCAGCACACCTTTCCATACAATAAACTAATCTTTCCCTTATCTCATGATTCATTTTGAAGCATACTCATAAAATATCCAATCAGTATTCACTGAGGAGTCGGTATTTACGACATGGCAGCATAAATACCATGAAGAATATACAGATACGTAAATTCCGTCCGTGAGATGCCAACATTCTATCAAAGATGGACATTCACACAGAAGAAATTTCAAGAAGGCACACAGACTCTATTCACCAGAATGACCAAAATTAAAAAGACTGACAACACCAAAAATTAAATAGGAAGGTAGTACAGTCCCCATACAATGCTGGAGAGAATGTCAAACAGCAGAAACTTTTCTTTTTTAAGGATTTACTCATTTTTGTTGGAAAGTCAGACACAGAGAAAAGAGGAGAGAGAGAGAGAGAAAGATCTTCTGTCCAATGATTCACTCTCCAAGCGGCCACTGAGCCGATCTGAGGCTGGGAGCCAAGAATTTCTCTGGGTCTCCCATGCGGGTTCAGGGTCCCAAGGATTTGGGCCATCCTCTACTGCTTTCCCAGGCCACAAGCAGAGAGCTGGATGGGAAGTGGGGTTACCGGGATATGAACAGGCATCCCTATAGATCACGGCGCATGTAAGGTGAGGACTTTAGCCACTACACTAACGCGCTGGGCCCAGCAAAAGTAATTTTTAAGATTATTTGACGTTTCTTAAAATAGCTTAGCTGTCTGTCCATAAACAGGATAAAGCACTAAGAGACAAAATGAACAAACTATCGATATAAAACTACATGGATGCATATACAAAATATACTGAGTCAAAGACATATCCTAAGATTTCTGTAACATGAAATATTACTAAGGAAGGGCACACATAATTATTTTGCTTTTTGATGGGAGTGTGGATTTCTATACATTAAAAAAAGTAACAGAATCCTTGGGATTCAAACATTTTACTGTATGTATAATAGCTTCAGTTTTAAAAAAGAACAAAGAGCATTTTCTATTTAGTAGCTAAACATAAAAGCAGAAAATGCATTTGTTTTTAGGGATTCTGAATTTGAAGTCATGGTACATCATTCAAAAGAAATGTTACAGCAGGTAGTTAAATGCAGAATTAAGCAGTGCATCAGCCTTTCAAATAAGTAAAACTTACACTTCTGCACCAAAATAAACTTCTCTTTTAATTCCATTTTCCACAAACTTTTTGAAATGCTCCTGTACAACAATAAATTACTGGGTGCAAACAAAAATATACATTGGAGAGTTCTGATGCATTCTAGAGATCAGATAAAATATCCATGATCAAAGAGATTGAAGAAAGGAACTCAAGCACAAAAAGGAGTCATTTCCTTTTCCAGGAAAGAGGAAGGTGGAGGAAGAGTGGCTGTGGCTAAAAGGCAACAGATCAGAAGTTAGGCAGTAGTGTGGTTTTGAAAAATTGAAAGAAGTTTAGCATGGTTGGTACACTGAAAGCCAAGAATAACAGTGCCAAAACATGTCATAGAAATTAGGCACCAGATAGTGGCATCATTTAAAAAAACCTAATGGCTGGTCCTGGTGCAGTAGCCTAGTGGCTAAAGTTCTTGCCTTGCATGCTCTGGGATCCCATATGGGCACCGGTTAATATCCCAGCTGCTCCACTTCCCTTCCTGCCTATGGCCTGGGAAAGCAGTCGAGGATGGCCCAAAGCCTTGGTACCCTGCACCCACATGGCAGACCCGGGAAAAGCTCCTGCCTCTAGGTTTCTGACTGGCTCAGCTCTGGCTGTTATGGCCACTTGGGGAGTGAACCAACAGATGGAAATATTACTGTTTCTCTCCTTCTCTCTGTGTATCTGACTTTCCAATAAAAATCAATCTTTTAAAAAAATTCTAATGGCAATGAGGAGCTGCCAAAGGATTTGAACAAAATGGATTCACTCTCATTTCTGAATGATTACTTTCATTACATCATAAAAAAAAACTGATTAGAGTCCAAAAAAAAAAAATAAGAGTCCAAAAGATATCTATAAAAAGATTTTCAATAAGCAATCTAGGAAAGAGATGAAGTAGCATCATTTCAGGGCAGCACATGGAATGGAATAGAAACATTTAGAAGGCAAGAACACCAGGGCTGATTAGCTGATATGGAAAGAGGAAGGCAGAATGAGGAAGAAACGAGACTAACAATGATAGCCAAGTTTCTGACTCCAGCAGCAATAACACAAATAGTAACATTGAGAATAAAAATGAGTGGGAACCTGGAAAGAGAAGATAGAGGTATGAGGATGTTAGGTGTTTATGAACATCCAAGAATGGTGTAGAAAACACAGAAATCTGAAGCTGCAGGCAAAGAAGATAGCCAAAGTATAAGTACCTCACAAGATGAGAAAGAAGGAGGAAAAAAGGTAGCACAGTCTGAAGCCACAGCAATTAATGGGACAGATCATTTTGAGAAAAGCTTAAATGGTTAATAACATATGTTGGCTGTTTATGTTTGGCATTTCAGATGTTTCAGTTAATGCAATATTTACTAATTCATGACTTTTTATAGATGAGGAATTTGAGAGTAAATAATTTGAAAAGTTACATAGATAAAACACAGATGAAAAGTACAAATCCAGGTATATTTAAGAACCTGAAGCCTTAACCACAGGAGTAGATTTGCACTGTGGAGTGAATTTGTGTATTAAACTGAAAATGGCCTGGCAACATGGTGGCCTAGCGGCTAAAGTCCTCACGTTAAACACGCCATGATCCCATACGGGCGCCAATTTTAATCCCGGCAGCTCCACTTCCCATCCACCTCCCTGCTTGTGGCCTGGAAAAGCAGTTGAGGACAGCCCAAAGCTTTGGGACCCTGCACTCATGTGGGATACCCAGAAGTTCCTGGATCCTGGCTCTGGATTGGCTCAGCTCCAGCTGTTGCGCTCACTTGGGGAGTGAATCATTGGATGGAAGATCTTCCTCTCTATCTTTCCTCCTCTCTATTTATCTGACTTTGTAATAAAAATAAATAAATCTTAAATAAGTAAATAAATAAATAAATAAACCAAAAACAGATTAGAGGAGTACGCAAACTCAATCTGTTTTCTTTCAAGGAATCCAATGCAAATTTCAATTTTAAACTTAAGGTGACATTATCAAAGAGAAAAATAGTTTTATTATTCTGTAACTGCTCAGATGAAAAAACAATTTATATATAATCATTTAAAATATTAAATATCTGAAGAATTTACTTATAATATTACCACTTCAAATAAAGTAATGGTAGCTTTATCAAAAAGAAATTAAGACATTTGAGATTTTTTTGCCATTTACATACCATGTTTCAACTTCTCTATCAGTGCTTCATTGTCATCCAACTTCAACTCATTGACTTTATCTATCAGTCCTTCAATATCACCCATCCCTGTAAAATCCCAAAAAGAAAAATTAACAATAGTATACTCAATGTTACATTAACCAATACACATTCGCATAATTACCTTGTGGGGTAGGCAAGTTGGTACTATACATCATAAGTGAGGGAAATTAAGTGGTGGGAAAAAAAAAAGGCAGGGGCTCCAGTTGGAATTCAAATTCCAGGTTTTCTAGCAATATCACCCTGAGAAAGTTTTACTGCCTTATAAATGTTACTAGTATAACCAAAGAAATTTGCATTTGCCAAAAATTTTTCAAAGCAGGTTCCATCTAATTTCACCAGCCAAAGCACAGGAAGCAGGTTGGCATCACCATTATTTTACAAGTGAGGAAGGTAAATCATAGGAAGAAAGGAAAACTTTTAAATGAGGTACTAAAGGTAGGATTAAACTCCTAACCTGCTCCAGAGATCAGTATTATTTCTCAGAGTTTTTTTTAATATCCCCAACACTGTACATACCGAGAAGTTTGCTGATGAAAGGTTGTGTTTTGAAAGGCTCAAAGTCATCTATATGTTCCCCTGTACCAATGAAAATAATTGGACTTTTTGTGGCAGCAACTCTATGAAGAAAATATAAAATATACTCAAAAAAGAGAAAAATCCTGAGCTTTTTCCAAAACTAATAAGAGACTTTCCAAGCTAATAATCTAATTTAAATTTTACTAATTAAAGCAGAAATTAATTAAGAAACTTCTTTATGAATCATATTAACTCCACTATTGGCAAAAATCAACAAGAAAGCCATAAACACACGTATAACCTACGAACAGGACAAAAGCACCACTGATACTTACGCACTGAGTGCACCACCTCCTTTTGCATGACCGTCAAGTTTTGTTACTATTACTGATGCTACATCTACTTTATCTTTAAAAGCCTTAGCCTGGGCTTCACAAGCCTGCCCAATGGAAGCATCCATCACATAAACAATGTTATCAGGTTGCTAGAAAGTTTAAATAGAAAAGATGCATATTGTTACTTTAAAGTTCATCATTAGAAGCTACAGAACATATTTATTTTAAATATACAACCAGTAAGTATTTGTTGAGGGAGTACTATTTCCTGGAGCAATCCAAATCCTGAGGATAAAGAGGTCAGTAAAAAACTCCTATCCCCCTCATGGAACACAGATGGTAAGGGAGGTGGGGAGGTAGCTTAGGAACAAGCCCTCTCTGGAGGTAATTTTAGAGCTAAGGCCAGGACAGAGAAAGGAAAGCTACAGAGATCTGGAAGAACTGCATTCTAGGCAAAGGAACAGTAAAAGAAAATCAGAAAAAAAAATACAAAGAGTACATAATAAAGTTAAAATGAAACTTGGGTAAAATGACAGCATAACTGAAAGAAACATTATTAGCATTAAACACTAACCTAAGAATTACTGCCAACACATCAATGGCAAAATATGGGTTTCTAACACAAGGAATTTTTCTTTTTAAGATTTATGTATTAAAAAAAATTATGTATTTTGATTGGATAGGCAGATTTTACAGAGGAGAGACAGAGAGAAATATCTTCTGTCCGCTGCTTCACTCCCCAAAGAGCCACAATGGCCAGAACTAAGCCAATCCAAAGCCAGGAGCCAGGCACCTCCTTTAGGTCTCCCACACAGGTGCAGGGTCCCGAGGCCTGAGGCCGTCTTCCACTACTTTCCTAGGCCACAAGCAAGCAGCTGGATGGGAAGTGGAGCAGCGGGGACATATAAACCAGTGCCCATACCGGCTCCCAGCACTTGCAAGGCGAGAACTTACCCACTGGGCCATCGCACTGGGCCCAATATAAGGAATTTTTAAAATTTACGAAAAATATGTATTTTGAAAAACAATACAGATATTTCAAAAGTTTTTTACATTAAAATAAACATTTCATTTTCATTTTCCATAAGCCTTTCATGTACTATTTGTTTTTTCTCAATTTTCATAATTTGAAGGATGAGAAACTAAATTACTATTTTTAATGCTTCAAAATCCCAAAATTCATCTAAAGTAAAAGCTTCTCACTAAAGTAGCATACACAAAGTAAATTCAAGATACCATAGATTAGTGTAATAATTACAATCCCAGATACTATACACTAATTTTTCAATTTTGTTATTTATTTTCTATAGACCAAATTACAGACTAAAAAGATAAAATTATCTTTTTTGGTTTTTTTTAATTATTAGAATTATTTTTATTGCTAAAACAGTTCTAAAGACATATCATTATTTGATGTTTCCTTGTATAAACTTATCTATAGAGTTTAGTAAGGAAGTTAAATATGGGAAGGGTGCACAATTTTTTATTCCATAAGTAAAAAAACTGAAAGTTCAATTAAATAAATATGTTAAAATAAGCACAATTAGGTTAAGCAGTAAACAGAAAACATCAAAGTAATCCTAAAAAAGAAAAAAGGTTTTGATACAAATTATCTTCTTATCATATAACTGGCAGGTACCCAAGATGGAAACAATTATTTGGAATCTGCCTAACACATAAGGACGAACTGAATTTTATACTGATTATCAGCTTTAGAATTAACTAGTCTTCATAGTGCTGTTATATTAAAAACTACTTACTATAGCATTAGCAACTTGAAGCATTTCTTCAAACAAAGAGTCTTCCTGTTTGTGGCGGCCACTTGTGTCAACAATTATAATTTCAAAATTTTCATTTTTGAATTTCTCTACTCCTTCAGAAGCAATGATAACAGGATCCATTTCTGTATAGCTATGTAACATGAATAAATGATTTCACAGTCATCACACCAAAACTTCCAAATATTATTAATGTGGATAGTTAGCCTCCTTTTGAATTATTCCAATGATCATATCATTTGTGATAAAATGCTAGGAAGTATTAACTAAAGAACCAAATTAGAACCACATGAAGGAATATCCAGCTTTTTAATGACAGAACTTTCTATAATTCTTCTGCATGTCATTTCTGAATGACTTGTTTTACTCAGTTTTTTCATACATCTTATTTAATAACTGAATTTCTGTGACACTATTTCATTGCTTTTCTACTTAATACCCTTTTTTAGTAACAATCTTATAAAAAGCCATTTCATGCCATCAAATGGCTATGCAATTGTCACTGGATAACATTTAAGGTCATTCCAGTTTCTTGCTAATATGCACAATCCATGTCATTTCTTTGAAACACTTTCTAATTCTACCTTACTACTAATACGCATCTTGGGAAGCAGCAGATGATGGCCAGAGCACTTGGGTGTCTGCCACCCAGAAAGGAGACATGAACTGAGTTCCAGACTCCAACTCTTCACGTCAACCTGGCCCAGCCCTGTCTACTGTAGGCAGTCAACTACTGGACGGAAGATATCTGTCTCTGCCTCTTTCTCTCTCTGCCTTTCAAATAAAATGTAAATAAATAAAAATTTTAATTAAATAAAAGGTATGGGATATTTAAAATTTTATTTTTATTCAATTAAAAGGCATAGGAACACAGAGAGAGAGAAAGAGTGAGGGGGAGGAAGAGTGGGGAAGAAGGAGGGGGAAGGCAGAAGGAATGGAGAGAGGGAGGGAGACAGCAGTCATCTTTTGGTTGCTCCCCAAATGCCCACAGCAGTTCTCAGCTTCAATAAAGCCAGAGGCGAGGAACTCGACACAGGTTTTCCATACAGATAACAGCAGCCCAATTGCCAGAGCCCTGGCTACAGTCTCTCAGGGTATGCACTAGCAGGAAGATAAAGCCAGGAACAGAGCAGGATATTTGCTATGGCATGGAATGCAGCAGCTTATCCCCACACCAATTTTACCCATTCATATTATTCTGATTTTTCAACTATACTAGAAACGATTCTTATTACCACCCCCAATCTCAACTCCTAATATCATTCTTTAATTCATATGCTAGAAACCCATGACATAAAAATAACTGGAAAAAAAAGTAACCACAAGAATCATACCCAGAGTTCACAAGATTCTTTTTGCCAGCTGAAAAGTTCTTCAGGGTCTGGCACTGTGATGCAGCAAATTAAGCTGCTGCCTGTAATGTTGGCATCCCATATGAATGTCAGTTCAGATCCTACCTGCACCACTTCCAATCTAGCTTCCTGCTAATGAAGCAGCAGAAGACAGCCCAACTGCTTGCTTCCTACACCCATGTAGGAGACCAGGACTGAGTTCCTAGATCCCAGCTACAGACTGGCCTAGTCCTAGTCTTCTCTCTCATCTCTCTCTGTAACTCTGTCTTTTAAATAAAAACATAAACCTTTAAGGAAAAAAAGTCAAAGTCCTAAATAGGAAATCCCTCAAATAAATCCTGCTACATCCAATCTAAATTGAATTATACAGATTTTAACACACATAGGGTCAGCATTGTGCTACACTGAGTAAAGCTGCTGCCTGTAACATCATAGGAGCACCAATTCGAGGCCTGGCTTCTCCAATTCCAATCCAGCTCCCTGCTAATGTACCTAAGAAAGCAGAGGAAGATGACCACAAGTGCTTGGGCCTCTGCCACTGACATGGGAGACCTGGTGGTAACTCCTGGCTTCAGATTGGCCAGCTCAGGCTGTTGGTTGTGCCATTTGGAAGAGTGAACCAGCAAATGAAAGATACTACTATGTCTGCTTCTTCTCAAAAAAAAAATTTTTTTTAAATAAATTCTAACAAGCTACACTATTGAGATGAAAAATAATGTATCAAACGTGGAGTAACAATAATCACAACTACTTTCTGAGAAAATTTTGGCACCATTTGCTCACTAATGTGTATTTTTTTTTAAGATTTATTTTATTTTTATTACAAAGTCAGATATACAGAGAGGAGAGGAAGGTCTTCCGTCTGATGCTTCACTCCCCAAGTGAGCGCAACAGCCAGTGCTGCGCCAATCCAAAGCTGGGAATCAGGAACTTCTTCTGGGTCTCCCACGCGGGTGCAGGGTCCCAAAGCTTTGGGCCGTCCTCAACTGCTTTTCCAGGCCACAAGCAGGGAGGTGGATGGGAAGTGGAGCAGAGCTGCCGGGATTAGAACCAGTGTCCATATGGGATCCCAGCAAGCTCAAGGCAAGGACTTTAGCCGCTAGGCCATGCTGCCAAATCCCACTAGTGTGTATTTAACAGAGATGCTTCCAAAGAAGTCTGAAATCAAGCAGCAGCAACAGAAGTAGAAGCATGCAGGACAGAATGTCACAGCAGAGTGGTAAGCATGGGCAAAAGCCACAAACTAAGCAATGCCCTCATTAAGCTACCAGGCTGCAGCGAAAGAACCTAATAACAAAACCTAAATTATCGATTACACTTCAACTTTTTCCAGAAAGAATTATATTCAGAAAGTATATAACGAAAAATAAGCAGACTACATGAAGTACGTTCAGATAACATGAAAAAAAAAATTCAGATAACATGGATCATGTGAATATCAAAAGAAAACCTAGCAACTTACCTTCCATAGAATGGAATTCTTGCTTTGGTAGCATTCTGTTTTAGTTGGTCAAAAGCCCCTAAGGAGATAAAGAGTTAATCAATCCTCAAATTTGAAAATAAAAATTACAAAAAACAATTTGGAAATTTCAGCACAGTACCTGCTCTGAATGTATCCGCACATATCAAACAGGTCTTCCAACCTTTCCTCTGGTAATAATATGCTAACTAGGAAAGAAAGATTATTTAAAAACATATTATTATTCATAAAACCCCTACAGTTCATCCTTATTATTCACATAAGGCAGGGTGAGGAACATCTGGTCCATGAGCTGTTTAAGGCCCATGAAACCAATTTGGTCTGACTCAGCCAAGGCAACCCACAAGCAAGACTTCAAATGCTACAGCAGTTTAATTTTTTAAGTTGATAACTTTTAAAAGATTATAATTTTTATTAGAAAGGCAGATCACATTTACAGACAAAGAGATCTTCCATCTGCTAGTCTACTCCCCAAATGGCCACACAGCAGGAAATGAGCTGATCTGAAACCATGAGTCAGGACCTTCTTCCCAAGGCTTTGGGCCTCCTCTACTGCTTTCCCAAGTCAAAATCAGAGGAGATGGGAAGTAGAATAGGAGGGACATGAACCAGCACCCATATGAGATCCCGGCACTTTCAAGGTGAGGATTTAGCCAATGAGTCATTGTGTAGAGTGCCATTATCATTTTGTATGGCCTGCGAATGATTTTATAAAGATTCAAATGGCCCGTGGAGAAAAAAAATATTCCCTACCATTGATCTAAGGAATATAGTAAAACTGCACATAATTCTCCTAAAAGTAATACAGATTTTTGAATGTAGCAAATTTCCTAAATACTTTAAATCCTAAATTGCCATTTAATCACATTCAAAAGACAGTGATCAAGCAGCAAATGATCATTGTCTACTACTAATCATATTAGGTAAAACATATTAATAGTACTAATAATGCTACTAACAAAAACCCTTTCCCAAAATATTTCTTTCTTTTTCCTCAAACTAACATGGTTGAGGCTTCTAGAGAGGAAGGGATGGTATAATAGGTTAAACTAACATAAATACAAAATAAAAATCTGTATTTTGCTGGGTGGGACACTGAAAAGTCAGTTTTAAGCCATGTGAGATAAGGTTAACCTTCTAAATTCTCACATCCTTAAAGGAAAAATATCTTTTTGTATAAGAAATATCATGTTTAAATATAAGCCTACAGTTCTTACAAAAAAGCAATTGTAAGAGAATACAGGATACTCTTTTCGTATATACAAAAACTATTACAAAGCACAGAAGATACAACAAGCAATACAAAAAATCACAAAGCAAATCTTCCTTTAACATAAAACAATCTATACGAATATATTTTCTTTATGACTTTTTAAGATTTTAAATTTATTTCCTTTAAAGACAAAACAACAGAAAGGGAGAATGAATCTTTCATCTGCTGGTTCACTCCCCAAGTGACATTAACAACCAGAATGCGCCTAGGCCAAAGAACCAGGAGCCTGGAACTCCACCTGGGTTCTCCCACATGGATGGCAGGGGCCCAAGTATCTGGGCCACCTTCTGCTGCTTTCCCAGGCACATTAGGATTAGAAACAGAGCAGCTGGACTCAAACTTGGGCTCCAGCATTGCATGTCCACAGCTTAACCCACTGTACCAACACTCTTCCTCACACATATTTTTTTTTTTATAAAGCTAACTTACCTTTGAACATGTTGTAGTTTTACCACTCCCTTGCAATCCAACAAACATGATCACATTCTGTTTTCCTTTGGTAGGTGTCCATGCTTTAACTCCAGGGTCTACAAGCTATATATAAAAAAAGTAAATAAATAAATAAAAACAAAGCCAGGTTAAAGTACACCTACATACAAAACCCTTCCCTTACCACTTTAAAGACATTTTTATCTGAAAGCCCTTAGACCTCTGCCATTCCAATTCCACTCTACTGTCCTTTGTGCATGTAGATTTTTTGAAGAATACAAAATGATACATTGTGAAATCATAATCAAGTATATATTATCAAACAATTAGGAGGTAAGGCTCTCAAACCATTTTCTTTACAATAGGGCCAAAGTGTGAAATAAAATGTGAGATGAAGTTTGACCTAAAGGAACAATCTATATCACCATATAAATACAAAAATGTATGTGGTAGGTCACATGTGAATTTAAAAACTTCTAGTAACACATAAAAAACAAAGTCAATTTTAATATTTTATTTAACCCAATATATCAAAAAACATTACCTTGACATTTAACCTATATAAAAACTTTTTTATATAATATTTATTTATTTTTACCAAAAAGGTAGATTTACAGACAGACAGACAGAATGATTTTCCATCTACTGGTTTATCCCCAACATCCTCTGGCTGCAACAGCTGGAGTTTGAGCCAATCTGAAGCCAGGACCCAGGAGCTTCTTCCTGGTCTCCCACATCAGGCCCTATATAAAAACTTTTAAAGAGGTATTTTATATTCCTGTCCTATACTATGTCTTCAAAAGTGGTCTGTGTTGGACCCAGCACGGTGGTGCAGTGGTTAAGGTCCTAGCCTTGCATGGCCGGGATCCCATGTGGGTGCTGGTTCTAATTCCAGCGGACCTGCTTCCCATCCAGCTCCCTGCCTGTGGCCCAGGAAAGCAGTCAAGGATGGCCCAAAGCTTTGGGACCCTGCACCCACGTGGGAGACCCGGAAGAGGCTCCTGGCTTCAGATTCGCATAGCATCGGCCGTTGCACTCACTTGGGGAGTGAATCATCGGACAGAAGATCTTCCTCTCTGTATATCCGCCTTTCCAATAAAAATAGAATAAATCTTTTAAAAAAAAAAAAAGTGGGACCCAGCGCGGTGGCGCAAGTGGTTAAGGTTCTCGCCTTGCACGCCCGGGATCCCATATGGGTGCCGGTTCTATCCCGGCAGCCCCGCTTCCCTTCTAGCTCCCTGCCTGTGGCCTGGGAAAGCAATTGAGGACAGCCCAAAGCTTTGGGACCCTGCACCCCCCCCCCCCCGTGGGAGACCCGGAAGAGTCTCCTGGCTTCGAATCGCCATAGGATCAGCCGTTGCGCTCACTTGGGGAGTGAATCATGGGACGGAAGATCTTCCTCTCTGTCTCTCCTCTCTGTATATCTGCCTTTCCAATAAAAAAATAATAAAAATAAATCTTAAAAAAAAAAATGTGTTCTGTGTTTCATATGTAAAGTACATCTTCTTATGGACCAGTTATATTATAAGTACTCAATATACATGTGTAACTACCATAATCAGTGCTTTTGTTTATGTTCAATTTGACAAGCATCATTTACGTATAAGCCAAAGTATAAATGATATGTTGAAAACTTGTCAAATGTTAAATTCTCCAATGCTGATAATCACCAATTTTATCATGTCAATAGAAAATTAAGTTTACTATAGAATCAGTTCCCAAATGAACAAGTCTGATGCATTTGAAATGATCACTTAAGGGGCCAACATTGTGGCTTAGAGGGTAAAGAGAGGGCAAAGTTGCCTCCAGCATTCCAAATAGATGCTCGGTCATGTCCAGACTACTCCCCCTCCCCCACTTTTTTTTTTATTACTATTAATTACACTGTATTGTGTGACACAGTTTCATAGTACTCCACTTTTGATCCTGCTCCTTGCTAATAGTGTGAGTAAAACAGCAGAAGATGGCTCCAGTGGTTGGGCCCCTGCTACCCAAATAGAGACCTGAAAGAATCTCCATGCTCCTAGCTTTGGCCTCCTGGGAGTGAACCAAGAACATCCCTCTATGTCACAGCACTAACCTCGGCAAAACTGCTCTTAACCAAAGTTTACCTCTCTTCTTCCTAGATACTTTCAGTATACTAATCCAACTCCATCTTCTACATCTTATGGCAGAATCACCCAACTCTCCACACACCTCTTATTTAGAACCCATGATATAATTATTTTTTTTAGATTTATTTTTATTATTTTTTATTGGAAAGGCGGATATACAGAGAGGAGAGACAGAGAGGAAGATCTTCCGTCCCATGATTCACTCCCCAAGTGAGCGCAACGGCCGATCCTATGGCGATTCGAAGCCAGGAGACTCTTCCGGGTCTCCCACGCAGGTGCAGGGTCCCAAAGCTTTGGGCCGTCCTCGACTGCTTTCCCAGGCCACAGGCAGGGAGCTGGAAGGGAAGCGGGGCTGCCGGGATTAGAACCGGTGCCCATATGGGATCCCGGGCGTGCAAGGCGAGGACCTTAACCACTTGCGCCACCGCGCCGGGCCCGATATAATTATTTTATAAATCTTTTCTTCTTCCTATCCCCTTGACCAAGGGTCCTCAACTTTTTTGGTCTGAGGGCTGCTCTGTGATCATAGTAGTTTATGAAAGATAGCTGAAATGTGAAATTTGAAATGATAAAGACTTTCTGAAGGAAGATGGCCGACGTAGGAGGAAGGCTGTGAGTGAGCGTCTAGTGAGAGAGGGATAGAACGCTACAGAAGCAGCAAAGAGGAACAGCAGGGAACCGCAGGGAGAGGTCCGTGAAGCTCCCTGGGACAGTGTGGAGCCAAAAAGATCCACACAACTCGGAAGAACAACGAGAACGGAGCAGGGCAAAGGCAGAGAAACCGACATCCCACGCCAGACCTGCTGAGTCACTTTTGAAAACGGCCTGACGGGAGACGCGGCCAGCTCGGAGGCGGGGAGATCAGGGGGATCGTCCCCGGCGGGAGGCCCTCAACAGCGGCGGAGGCAGACTGCAGCGGCCGGACGTTTGGTGAGGGGGGGGGGGTTGACGTGGCAGCCTTCGCATTCCTCGACCCCTGCTGAGGTTACAGCCTCTGAGATCGCGGGGCAGGCAGCCTGAAACTGTCGGGTCTTGGCCTTGGGAACTACGCTCAGTGGTGTTGGTGGCTGAAGGGGCCCTGGGAAGGCGCCTCGGTTGTTCTTGCGCTGAGGGGGCCAGTGCGGCTCGGTGCGCAGAGACAGCTGGCAAGGGTCTGGAGTCCCCCACACCCCGCCTGGTGGAGGACCGGGAGGACTCTGAACGCTGCACCGAGCGGACTGGGCGGCCCCGCCTGCAGCAGCCGCCTCCGCAGCGCAGGTGTCAGGTGTCAGGAGACCTCTGAGATTTGGGAAGTGTAGCGCTGTGTGTCCCTGACACGCAGGTACCACTCCCATAGAGTGAACTGCTCACTCCTCGCCTACCATCCCGCAGTTCTGAGTGTGGGCGACCCACCAGGAGAGCTCTGAAAACTCCAGCACCATACTCACACGGTGCGAACCTGCCGTGAAGTCATTATAACAGGGCGCCTGGGCCACTCCTCCGCTAAGGGCCTGTGTGGGGGAGCCACACGGGAGCAGGGGCTCTGAACACCCACACACCACGAGTGGTGGATTCACTGCACAAGAGCCACGCCTGGAAAGTGCCTCACCCACAGTCCCGTGTGTGGGAGACGCACCAGGTGGGCTCTGAAAGACCCTGCAGTCCCTGACACGGAGAACGCAGGGAGAAAGCACATAAAACCTTCTAAGCCCTGTGGATTCCCGTGCAGGGGGCACACCCAGAGAGCGCCTCCATCCCTCCACGCCCTGGGGTGTCACACCTGTAGAAGAGGTGCCCAGAGTGTGCCTGGAATCCACTGGGCCCCCAAGGTGGTGCTCTACAGCCCCGGGCCCTGAGAACGCACCAACGGTGCCTTGAAAACTACCACGCCTGGCAACACCACGCCTGCAGGCTCCAATCTCTACAGGAAAGCACCTGACGGCCCCTCAACACACGGGTCCATTTGCCCCACCAGAATACACCAACGCAATGGGAAAAACCACCAGAAAGAGTTGTGCTCCAGATGAAAGAGCCAGCACCCCACCAAACAAGGGCCAAAAGCCATTATCAATATCGACGATACGAGATGAAGACATGGACGTGTTACCAGCAAAGGAATTGATGAAAATAATGCTAAAATTTCTCAGAGACGTGGACACAAAGCTGGAAGACTTCCAGAACCGCATAATCACCGAAATACAACAAATCAAAACCAAACTGGATGCCCAAGATAATAAGATTGAAAGCCTCATCAACAGAATAAATGCGGCAGAGGAAAGGATCTCTGACACAGAAGACACACAAAATGAAGGTGCCCAGCGAATTAAACAGCTGGAGACAAACCTCAGCAAAACTAATAAAATGATGCAAGAGATGAAAGATTACCTTAGAAAATTGAATATTCGGATCATCGGCCTCCCCGAGGGAGTAGAAAGAGAATCTGGGATGCAAGCAGTGCTTGATGAAATTATACAGGAAAACTTCCAAAACACTTGGAACACGAATCCACCCCGCATACAGGATGGACAGAGAACTCCCAACAGATATGATCCAAAGAGATCTTCACCCAGACACACGGTGCTCAAGTTCTACTCCAATGAAGACAAAGAAGGAATCCTGAGACAAGTACGAAGTAGAGAAAAGATCACATACAGGGGAAAACCCATCAGAATCACTGCTGACTTCTCCGAAGAGACCCTACAAGCAAGGAGAGAATGGACAAAGATCTTCCAAGTCCTGAAACAAAACAACTGTCAACCAAAAATAATCTACCCAGCAAAGATCTCATTTGTATATGAGAACGAAATCAGATACTTCAATAGCAAAGAAAAACTAGAAGAATATGTCTACACAAAACCAGCTCTGCAAAGTCTCCTTAGAAATGCGCTAGTCCCGGACAAAAAGGAGGCAAATCACAAACAAAGTTGGCAAATAAGAAGGTCTCCAAACTAAAGGCCACACGAACAAGACAATTACATAGGCAACAACACACACACAACACAATCACATGGC